CTGCCTATCCTTGTCAAAACGTTAGCTTTACCATATGATGTTGATCTTCTCCAATCTATTCGTCATACTCTTGACCTTTCTCCATTGAAATGCTTCCATGGATGGAAGAAAACTTGTTAGCAATGAATTAATTAATTTGTTTTCACATTTTGGGGAGCTAAGCGAGCAAAGATTCACGTCGGATTTTGCTGAGCGTCACATAGTAGCAATGCCGTTTCACTCTAATCAATGCTTACATGAACAAGCATGACAAATTCTCCACAACTTTTTACTTCAGTTTTATTTGGAATTCAACTGGACAAATCCTCTCCTAGGATTAATTTCTTGCCAGCTAAACTCGTCTTAAACAACAATCAGATTATAATACATTATATTAAACGTTTAAGCAGTGCCTCCCATCTCTTACTGAAGAAAACTGCGAAGGTCCACAGGATGCATGAAACACCACCACCAACAATGGCAGCCAGAATCGTTTGATCGCCATGACCGTCATCATCGTTTTCATCTTTGTGATCATCATGAAAAGGATCATGCAAACTAGCACACTCTGCAAGGGGGAAGCCACAAAGGCCTGGGTTTCCTTCATAGCTGCTCACCGGGAATAATGCAAGTTGAGCACTCTGTGGAACCCTTCCGAAAAGCTTGTTGTTCGAGATGTTTAAGTAATTCAGGAAGGTGAGGTTGCCAAGCGAGTCCGGGATGTTTGATTCAAGCCAGTTCTGTGATAAATCTAGCCACTCCAGGTTCTTGAGGTTTCCAATTGTGGAAGGAATGGCCCCCGTAAGTAAGTTGTGTGCGAGATTTAGCACATTTAAGTCTCGCATGCCACCGAATTCCTCTGGGATTGTTCCAGTGAAGCTGTTGTGCGAGAGATCAATAGCCAAAGGACTGTTTACCAGAGTATATATTGTTAAGTTGAAACCAGGAGGTGCCAGAAAGAACCATCTTCTGCATCTGGTTGCAAACGGAAGTTGCTCAAAGTCATCCAAGCGGATCCCTTGCAGTATGAAAACCTCCTCATAAGCTTTGCAGATGGATGCCTCTATGTTGATTGCAAACACCATCAGAAACGGGAAGGTTACTTCGGTTATTTTATCCTCTTCCACTTCTGATGAGCGGCCGATCCAGCCTGGAATTTGTCCTGTCAACTGATTGTCGTTCACTAAAAACAAAGTTAGACCCTTGTTGTTTCTAAGCTCACTTGGTAGACCACCCTGAAGCATGTTGTGACCCAGTACGAGAGATCGAAGGCTCAACATACTTCCAATAGATGCGGGGATTGCTCCAGATATCATGTTGTTGCTCAGAAGCAGCAACCAGAGTTTCTTCAGCCCAGATATCTGCTGAGGAATGACACCTGTGAGATTGTTAAAACTGAGATTTAGTGTCACCAGCTCACTGCAGTTGCTGATTGTAGCGGGTATGCTGCCTTCAAGATTGTTCCCCCAAAGAAGAAGATGTTGAAGCTTCGGAAGTCTGCTGCACATATCCACTGGAATGGGCCCTGCTAGAGAATTGATGCTGATATCAAGCATTTCCAGGTTACCACAGTTCATGGCTGAGTTCAGAACCCGACCATGCAACCTGTTATATACCAGCAGCAAAGACTTAAGTGAGGACCTTGCAGGGCAGATGTTTGGGTTGCCAGTGCTGAACAAGTTGCAGCTCAGGTCTAGAACATTAAGACTTGGAGGAACTGTAGGGAGTTCACCTATAAAGTTGTTGTGGTCGGCTTGGAGAACTTTAAGAGACTTGAAAACCGTAGCTAAACTTCGATTGGCAAATACCGAGAGGAATGGGCCAGATAAGTGATTGTCTGATAGATTGAGCATCTTCAAAGCAGCACAATCCTTCCAAAAAACTGTCCCAGAAATGTTGTTAAAAGAGAGATCTAGCTCCTCCAGAGTAGGACAGTGCTTGATCTGAAATGTTGTGAAGAAGTTGGTAGACAGGTTGAGCTTCTGAAGACTGTTGGATGAACGTAGACCAGAAAGTTCCCCTGTCAAATTATTCGACGACAGTGAAAGCTCTTGTAAGCTTCTGCAGTTTATAAACATATCTTCAGGCACCCCTCCAACCAGCTGATTGCTCGATATGTCTAGAAACCGCAAGCTCTTACACAATGTGAAAAAGGAAGCAGGTATCGAGCCACTGATTCTGTTGTGAGATAAATCAACCGAAACCATAACATGCCCGATTGTTCCCTTCAGCGAAATTTTTCTTAGCTTGTTGTGTGAGAGGTTCAAGTACCTGATGTCTTTGCAAGTAACCAAAAGAATATCTAGAAAATCACTAGTGAAATCGTTGCTTGACAAATTGAGGACCTCCAAAGAGCATTTCTGCGGTGATATTTTGATCCCAGTGAAGTTGTTCCCAGAAGCACTCAAGGTGCGTAGTTGAGGCAGGGCTTGGATGGTAGAAAATGGAAGAAGGCCCGAAAGTGACAGAGAATCAAGCTGTATGCCAGTGATGCGGCCTACCGAGGAACAACTTACACCAATCCATTGGCAAACGTCTGTGCCTGCCTTCCAGTTATTCAGTGCCACCAGAGGATCATCCACAGAATTTTTAAAGCTCAAGAGTGCTTCCAACTCTGAATCTTCAGCATCTCCATGAAAAACAAGTCTGACAACAAGCAGGACAAGAGCAAATAGCCTACATAGCTCCATTAGAATGCAACAACAATAAAATAAATGAATGGTGCGAGTCCTTGTGATCATATAAAGGCAACCAAGCATCAGTCAAATCTGGAGAGTATTCACACATGACTTTGACTGGCTGGTTCTTGAGAAATGAAATTGAACACGGCATACGAAGAGACAAAAGAAAAGAAGTTTCCCATGTAACATCTCCACCGTCGATCAAGGCGGATCGATATAGACGGGTACGATCGTAGCACCATCAAGATTGTTCTCTTTAGACGCGCTCTATCTTTTAAAAGTCAATGGAGCTGAATATGCTTCAGTTGCCCTCTCCATTCATGCCGAGTCGTTTCCGCACTACTATTGGTCTATGATCTTGCGCTTGGCTTCTTAACAGCGCGGTCGATCGATCCTGCCAGTAGCTGCTCAGACGGTGGAGAAAGCGCTTGACCAAGTGCAAATGCCATCTTGAGTACAAAGATACATCTCAAGTTCATAAAGCACTCTTTACAATACATAAAAACACTGGATCCTTTTATAAACTCGTTTTTAAACAAGTGGCCTATCCCCAGATCAGGACCATGTGAGCTGAGAGGTCCTGCTTGACTGTTTTCTATGGGTTGGAAGGTCTTCTGAAAGCAACAAACTTTCAGAAGGTCTAGGACGCAGGGAACAGAGCTTGCTGTGAGAACCACAAAACCTTTATTACCAAATAATGAATTTATACTAAAACGAAAGCCCAGCGCTTACTGAAGAAAACTACATAGTAGGAATGAAGCACCACCACTAATAATGGCAACCAGAATCATTTGACCATCACCACCATCACCTTGATCATCATCTTGCAAAGGAATAAGCAAACCAGCACACTCAGCAAGGGGTAAGCCACAAAGTCCTGGGTTTCCTTCATAGCTGCTCACCGGGAATGTTGCAAACTGAGCACCGGTGGAACCCTTCCGAGAAGCTTGTTCTACAAGATGTTTAAGTGTTTCAGGAAGGTGAAGTTGCCAAGCGAGTCCGGGATGTGTGATTCAAGCCAGTTCTGTGATAAATCTAGCCACTCCAGGTTCTTGAGGTTTCGAAGGAATGGCCCCTGTAAGTAAGTTGTGTGCGAGAAATAGCACATATAAGTCTCGCATATCAGTGAGTTAATTCCTGTGAAGGTGTTGTGCGAGAGATCAAGAATCAAAAGACTGTTGACGTTAGTATCTGTTGTTAAGTTGGAACTAGGAGGTACCAGGAAGAGCCATCTTTGTGCTCAAAGTCATCCAAGCGGATCCCCTGCAGTATGAAAACCTCCTCGTAAGCTTTGCAGATGGATAGCTCTTTGTTGATCACATACACGATCAGTAACGGGAAGGTTATTTCGGTTATTTCATCCTCTTCCACTTCCGATGAGCCCGATCCAGCTTGGAATTTGTCCTGTCAACTGATTGTCGTTCACTAAAAACAAATGTTGTTTCTAACCTCACTTGATAGACCGTCCTGAAGCTTGTTGTGACCCAGTACGAGAAATCGAAGGCTCAGTACTTCCAATAGATGCGGGGATTGCTCCAGATATCATGTTGTTGCTCAGAAACAGCAAGAAGAGTTTCTTCAGCCAAGATATCTGCTGAGGAATAACACCTGTGATATTGTTAAAACTGACAATCCTTCCGAAAAACTGTCCCAGAAATGTTGTTAAAAGAGAGATCCAGCTCCTCCAGAGTAGGACACTGCTCGATCTGAAATGATGTGAAAACGTTGGTAGACAGGTTGAGCTTCTGAAGGCTGTTGGATGAACGTAGACCAGAAAGTTCCCCTGTCAAATTATTCGACGACAGTGAAAGCTCTTGTAAGCTTCTGCAGTTTATACACATATCTTCAGGCACCCCTCCAACCAGCTGATTGCTCGATATTTCTAGAGCTCTTGCACGATGCGAAAATGGAAGCAGCTATCGAGCCACTGATTCTGTTGTGAGATAAATCAACCGAAACCATAGCATGCCCAATTGATCCCTTCAGCAAAAAATTTCTTATGAGAGGTTCAAGTGCCTGATGCCTTTGCACGTAACCAAAAGAATATCTAGAAAATCACTAGTGAAATTGTTGCTTGACAAGTCGAGGACCTCCAAAGAGCATTTCTGTGGTGATATGTGGATCTCAGTGAAGTTGTTCCTCGAAGCAGACAAGTTGCCTTGGATTGTGCCCGAAAGTGACAGAGAATCAATCTGTATGCCAGTGATCCGCCCAACTTACAACTTACACCAATCCAGTGGCAAACGTTTGTGCCTGCCTTCCAGTCATTCAGTGCCGCAAGAGGATCATCCACAGAAATTTTAAAGTTTAAGAGTGCTCTCACCTCTGAATCTTCAGCACCTGCATGAAAAACAATTCTGACAAGCAGGACAAGAGCAAGTAGCCTACATGGATCCATTAGAATGGGTTCGAACACGGAGTCAGAAGAGAAAGTCCAACCGAAATTTATCATTCTACTAATAGATATTAGGCTGGTTTGAACTTCATGGAGAGCTTGACTTTGCCTTGGATTATCCCGGCCGGGAGGATTACGTCGTACGCGTTGGGACCGTCGACTTTGCTGGCGAGAACTTGTCCCAGAGGAACTCTGCTTGAAAGAAATGTTAGTACTCTCTCTAGAAAACAAAGTCTGAGAAGAAAAAAACAAAGCTTTCCTGACGGTCCCAATGAAATCATCGCTGCCAACGACGTGATCCTTGTCGAACAGCTTCACAAACATGGTCTCGTCTTCCAGAGGAACGTCGCTCTCACCCTCGAGGCTAAACACGAATTTTTCGTTCCACTTCGGTGTGGAGCCCTGCCCTGGATAATGGAAGACAAGGTCTAGATAAGAGAAAAACTATGAGAGCTTTACCTTTGGCCGTGCTGCTCTGGAAACTCTGGCCTTTGAACTTGAGGATCGCATAGGGGTCCGATTTCCCTAGAAGAAGAAGAAGCAAAAGAGGATGAAGAAGAATCAGAGAATGGAAGAAAACTCGTACACAAGATGTCACAGTTCTTGATGTCGGTAGCGCCGATGAGAAAAACCTCTAGCGTCCCAGCCGACATTTCTATTCGCTCTTAAATCAAGAGATTTGGCCTCGAAGGCTTTTAAAGAGGAGATTTTCCAAGTCAGTGCTTCTGGACCACCACGTTGCTAGTGGGATTGTCTTTTGTTTGTCTCAACTCGATTGGAAGATCAGAGAAAAGCTGTTTTATTACTAGTTGGGTAAGCAAACTCTAATTCCTCACAGTTCCAAGGAAAATAAATAGCTTAACGAATGAAACTCGCCGGATGGAGATGGGAAACGATGGAAGTTGCTGTTTTCAGCGCCTACTTCTTCTTCACGTTAGCTGCCTTGATGATGTCGACGAACTCGGGCTGCAAGCCAAGGCAAGTGAAAATTGAGAAAACGAAAAAACAAAAAGAGATCTTTTTGGTCGTGCAAAAGAAATTTCTTCTTGATAAGTTTACCTTGAGAGCAGCGCCACCAACGAGGAATCCATCCACATCCGGCTGCGAGCCGATTTCCACGCAGTTGGCTGCTGTCACAGAACCTGAACAGTAGAACAAAAGAGATGTGAGCGAATTTTTCTTCCAAAGGAAGGATGAGCTTAAGCTTACCTCCGTAGAGTATCCTCGTCTTGCTTGCTACATCAGAGCTGACATTCTTCTCCAGCCAGGAGCGAAGTGCGGCATGGACCTCCTGAGCCTGCGCAGGGGTGGCAACTTTTCCTGTTCCAATCGCCCACACTGGCTCGTATGCTATCACCACATTCTTCCAGTCCTTGACCTTGTCTGCCACAATCAAGAAGTATGCTTGAGTGTGAGCTTTGGATGCAAGATAAAAACATGAAACCCAAACCTGCAATCGCCTTGGTTTGAGCAGCAACAACGTCGTTTGTTTGGCCGGATTCTCTTTGCTGGAGCGTTTCACCCACGCAGGCCATGACTTTGAGCCCTTGACTCAATGCGTAAACAACCTTGTCTGCAACAAACTGGTGGAAACCAAAAAAGAAAAATGATGTGATCCATCATAGTTTGATGTGATTTTTTACCTCATTGCTCTCTCCACACAAAGCTCTTCTTTCGGAGTGTCCCAAGATAACCCACGGGATCGCCAAGTCCTTAAACATCTCGGCACTGCCAAGAGAAACGCCGAGAAGTTGTTTTAGAAACTGACCAAAAAACAAATGTTGGAGACTAATCAAACCTGATCTCGCCAGTGAAAGCTCCACCTTTCTTCACCCAGCAGTTTTGTCCGGCGATGGCGAAGTCCGGGCGGAGAATGCTCTTGACGAGGGGAATATAAACAAATGGCGGGCCGATGACCACCTCTATAACACACCATGGAGTGATCAAACCGAGCAAAAAAACTGGACTTTCGAGCTTACCAACAACATCCTCTCCAGGAACATCGGCAGCTGCATTCAAAGTATTAACAATCTTCTTGATCTCCTCCACAGTTCCGTTCTACACAAGAAAAAAAAAGAAGTTTGATTCTTCCATGTCGACGATGATCCAAGCCAGGCTAGCTCAAAGCACTTACGCATTTCCAGTTGCCACCGACACAAAACTTGCGAGGCATGTTTGGCTTGCAAGCGGCAAAGCAGCAAGCAACACTACGCATCCGCCCTAAAATAAAAGGAGAGAGATTTCCTTTGTAACTGGAACACGAGAGATTAAACCGCCACGTAGTAGAGACGCACGGTTTAGCCAAAGAGACGCCACGTGTACAGGCCCCTCGTCAGCTTTGACGCGCGAACATTTTAAAATTTCGAACTCGAAAGTTAGGGTTTATGGCCACTAGGGCTTCTTGGCTTGCTCGAGCGCGGCGCCGATCTTGAGGAGGCCATTGCCGATGTTGGCGAGCGCGGCGTTGTACTGCTGGCCCAGCTGCACCACCGCGTCCAGCCGCGCGCGCTCGAACTGGAGCCGCTCGCCGTCGAGGCGCTGCCGCTGGTCCTCGAGCGCGTACTGCTTCTTGGCCAGCCCCACGTCCACGGCGTGCCGCCGGTTCCTCCCGCTCTCCGCCTCCAGCAGCACCTCCACGATCCGGCTGTTGTTCTTCTGCAAGATGCCGCCCAGGCTCTCGCTGCTTCCTCTCCCTGCCCCTGCTGCTCCTGCTGGCGAGGATGACGATGGATGGTGGTGGTGTTGATGGCCTGCTGCCGCTGCTGCTTTCCTCTTGCGATTCATCTCCGCTGCTGCTGCTGCGGCCGCCGCGGATGATCCGTGTAGCTCCGGCCCGTCTAGTCCTCCTCCCTGATCTCCTGCATCACCTTCCACAGCACCAGCTTTAGCACCTGGATTGATGAAAGGCGAGAGTTTTAAACTCAAGCTTGTCATCTCAAGGGAGAGTGCGATCACCCCCCGGTGGCTCTTGTTCAAACACACAAGCTCCAAGCAACTTTGATCGATCACACTCCAATTCAAGCTCAAAATCAAAGAGAGAACCAAGAACACGAGAAAACATAGAAAACCAGAAAGAGAAAGGAAACAAACAGGACGAAAAGAGAGAACTCACAGACAGAGAGAAAGAGAGAGGGTCTGTGATCTTACCGAAGCCCCAGAGGTTGTCGGGAAGAACAGTCAAGCCGGTGATGGCGGCGTCGGAGCTCTCCCATCGGCTCTCGGCCGTCTTGTGAGCCTCGGACTTGGCGTGCGTGTTGAGAGCGCTGAGCTGAATGGTGCTACACCCTTCCTTGGCGAACACATTGTCCATGTTGTAAGTGGTGCACCACTGGCACTTGAGCCGCAGCTCGCCGCTCTCCTTGTTCACCGGATACACCCACTTGTGCTGGAGCTTCCATTCCTCCCGCCACGACCTCTTGATCTCCTTCTTCTTCCGGACGAGGAACTCGTCTTCCTCCGCGCAATCCAAGTTTTGCTGCTGCTGCTGCGATGGTTGCTGCGGGGGCTGTGATTGCTGCTGGGACTGCGATTGCTGCTGCTGGGAATGCTGGTGTTGGTGGTGATGGGGATGAGGGTGGTGGTGGTGGACTTCTTCGTCAACTTCTTCTTCCTCGTCGTCGTCTTCGTGGTGGATTCGTAGCTGCTGGTGGAAGATGGTTTGCTGGCTTGCGTGTTGATCGTCTTGCTGCTGGGAATGCTGCTGCTGTTGCTGAGAATGCTGCTGCTGCTGCTGCTGCTGTGTGAGATTCGAGGACGTAGCGAAAGGCACTAAACCTGGAGCAACGACGACGGATCTTCCCGCTGTGGTTGCCGCCGCATCTTTTCTGGGCCGCCCTCGAGGCCTGGAACCTGGAGCCGGGCCCGACATCCCCTCGAAGTTCTTCACGAGAGACTCCGTCCAGCTGAGAAAGAAAGGAATGAATTTTTTTCGCTTACAGCTTTCTTATTTTGGTGATACCTGATCATATAGCTTTGCGGATGGAGGAGGTGTGAATCGATTCAACCTGGATCTGGAAGAACACACAATGTTAATCCAGCTAATGACCACTAGTCACACTACCAAGCCCTGATGCCCCCACATTCCACCCCGGCGCGGCGATCCAAGGCGCAGCATTCCCGCGGCGCCTCGCCATCGCCGCGCCGGCGGGGGATTGGGGCGCCATGGCGCGGCAGCGATGGATCGAGCACGAAGACCCCAATGAAATTAAGAGAAAGAAGGGGGGAAGAGAAGGGCATTGAAAAGTGATGAAGAAATGGCAAAGCCGTCACTGACCATTGCGATGCTGCCCGTCGTCCTCCCCAGCCACGGGCCGTCTCCCTCTTCAAAGTTGAAGAAGCCCTTCAACGTGTTAGGGCTTGACAAGAGCGAATCGCGGCCGTCCAACCCCGCCCACAAATCCAACGGTGGAGGTGGAAATCCCGTGTTCATGTATTAACAAAAATTCCCTCTCTTTTCTCTAAGTGAGGCGAGGAGCTTGCAGCGATGACTGGAAGTAAAGATCGTCCATGGAGAGCTGCTCGAGCGCGTCATAGTCCACACGGATTTGCTCCACTGCGCTCTCGGATCGCGGGCACTGCGCTTTGGGCCAGATACACGAATCCTTGACGTCTCCCTGCGCTTCCTTCTTCACGGCTTGTCTCGCCGATATGTCGATGCCGGACACCACCGAGACCGAGATCACGTCCGGGGCTTTGTTGGTGGCGGCGGAGCTTTGATCCTGTTGTTCCTGGCGATGGCGATGTTGCCGCTGATGGTAGAGTTGAGTTTCTAGCATGCCAAGGTCCTCTGCACTGGGAAAACTTATCTCGCAACCAAGCGTTTCCACGGCGTGCTTGATGAATGCCGTCTCCTTGCGTGCCCGGATTGCGTCGGCCACTGCCAGGGCTCGAGCTCGCTTCTCGCCCTCCAGCTCGTCGTGGAGAGCGTCGATAATGCTCATGAGGTTCTGGACCTTGTTCTCGGCCTGGTTCTTGCCCTGCGCGTATTGAGAGTACAACAAGAAAATACTAGTGCGTTTTACCTGCTCTGAAGAAGATGCGCGTTGAAACATCCCACGTATTTCGTCTTGGATGTGATCCTGGAGCGAATACCCCGAGCTGATGCAAAAACCAAAGTCCATCTGAGAAAACGCGATGCAAATCATGCTTACCTCTTTTCAGGATGGAAATTCCAGCGTAAATAATACTCTGGCCACAGAGACGGAGCTAGCGCAGCTGGCGAAGGTAACAATCTTGACGCAGGAATATAGAAGCAATTGTTGTACTTGCTTTCCACAGATTGCAATCTTCTGAAGTGAGTCCAAATGCAAGCACTCTCGGCGATCCGAGCTTGGACCCTTTCCTTCTCACTGAAACACCAAGTGTTTTAGTGAGTTGAAGCCCAAGAAAAAGCACCAATTACCTGTTGCATAAGAAGTTCCCGAAACGACAAGATAGAACGGAGTCCATAAATTCGACAAGAAACGCCTACACAAAATCCGTCAGTGATCCGCAATAGCCGCACCTACAAGATTTACCCCAGAGAATTCAAATGCCCGATGGTATAGTCGAACAAGTTGAGACACGCAATCGAACCACTGTAACATGATAGAATGAGACAAGTACAAAATATTTTCCGGCGAACCTGTAAAAATATTGGTGAAGTGTCATATGTTGTTCCCGACGTAGTGTTCGGATTGGGATGTGGCCGTGCAGGAGCTGCTGGCGTGGAACGTACAGACTCACTACTGGCCATTGAAGGCGTTCCCAAGCGATCCGCAAACGGGTGTCCAAATGCCAGCCAATCTTTTTCAATCAATGCCTACAAAACATGCCGTAAGAACCAACATAAAAGAAAACAGGAAAGCTTACTTGAAATCCCGCAAAGGTCCGGTAGTACGGGTCAAGCATAAGTTGCGCTAGTGACACAAGCTGAGTCGTTCTATCCCAGCCATCACTGCGGGGAGAGACAAGTCAACACATAGTTAAGCTGAACATATTGCTTGCCTGCAATGCACAAGAACAGATGCGCCCTCGACAGCAATACGAGCGGCAATCCAAGCAGCACCAGCAAGAAGATTGTGAATATGCGTAAGCCAACCACTATCGCCAAGAGCCGACACAGCCGCTGCTGTGCTACTGAAATTGCCACCTCCCCATATTGACCCACCACCTCTCTGAAAGTCGTGTTTGATTATGTATTTGCTTCAAAAAAATCTCATACCAATAGTGATGAGGAACCATCGGAGGATGACGCGCCAAAAGTGTCCAAGTAATCACGCAAGCGTCCTAAACTATCGCGCATCGCATGTATGTTATCAATTCCTAAGAATACCACCTGCACAGGAGAAACACAAGTAAAGACTTTAGATTGTAGAGCAGCAGCTCACCTCGCAGTGAGAGTAGTTCGCAGAAGATTCCGACCCGCCACCCATGGCCCCATTGGCTAGAGCATTTTTCCTTGGTCGTGCATCAACTATATACAATTTTCTGTTGGATCACAACTGAGCGTTCGGTAATAAGAAAATGGCGTCAGCAAGATTTTACCTTCGGCGCCCACAAAGAGCTGCAACTAGTTTCTCATCCGCAATACTACACACAAATCGATTATTATATCACACAATGTCTAGCAGAAAAAATATACCTGCGGGAGTTCATCATGATCCCAACAAGAGGTTGCGACGATCGAGCAAGCACAGCGCCATTATCTAAATTACAAACTTCTTGTAAGAAAACGAGGAGCAATGTGCAACTCACCAACCTGGATGCTGCCAGCTCAACGTAGGCAGCCTTCCACGGGCACGAAAATCTGCTCCTTGCTGAAACTCTTCATTACTAGCCGATGGAAATTGTTTAGAACATTGATTGAAGGCAAAGCAGCTAGAGAAGAGCGTTACCTCAGTGACTTTGGCATCACAAGAAGTGAAGGATACGTTGCACAGAGCATGTAGTCGGAGTTCACATCACTTAAGGTCCAGTAGCTTTTGTGATGCGAAATGATGCGCTCGTATTCGCTTTGAAGACGTACCCGGGGATCCGAGTCGAATCCCAGACAAGATTTGGCCCATTCCGCTGAAAAAGCATACAGGTCCCACAACCTTGCTGGCCTTGTTAATCTTTGAAGAGCATCAAAGATGATCCTTCTCTGCATTTAAAAGAGAAAAAAGAGTTACGATAATGCCAGCATTCTCGGACTACTACTTACATGCTTCACATGAGGAGAAAATCCGAACACAATGGTCCTCAAGTCCTTCCCAACAATTTGCAAGAGCCGACGCGGAGAAATAGAGCTCCGAGGTCCAGGAGGACGAACTGCTTGCTATACCAAACCTTAGTTGCATTAGCCCTGAATATATTGCATAGAAAACGAAAAAAAAAGGAAAACAGTTCTACCTGCTTTGAGAACTTCTCGATTGTCGCCAAAGGTATGGTTCCCATATTGCACACCTGTTCTCCATGCTGGAAAGAAAACGCTATGAGAAAGAAAATACTCTGAGAAACAAGTACCAGAAACACTAGACGAAAGCTTGTAAGCAGTAGCGTCCCTGGTCGATCGATATTCACAAGAAGAACACCCGAGCTCTGGGAAAAAAAATCACAGCAACCTCTTTAATTCAACAAACGCGGCGTAGCTCGAAATTTCTACCTCGGCGATGGCATCCTCGCCGGGCAGCAGCAATCCATAGCCGTGCTTGCTGACGGTAGGACCGGCCTGGACAACCTGCTTAGCCTGTTTCATCGGACATAGCTGGGAACCAAATCTCACGCGCGAATCCGAGAGAATTACCTCCACTGTCGTCCAATCGTGCCAGCACGCTTCTTCCATCGGCAAGAATGGATCGAGACTACATTCGCCAAGCGCTCGCACTCGCACTCGCGCTCGCGCTCGCCATCACACCGCCCTAAAACCACGAGCCCTAAACTCGGACCTTCCACTTGTACTTCAAATCCCGGCCGTTGGATTCGACAAAACCTCTTTCCTAAAGTAGAATTCCGAGCAGCAATACTTAGCATTCTTTGGATTTACAAAGCAAAGACTCCACTCTCTTTCTCTTTCACATTATCGTGCAAAGAGACTCTTCTTCTTCTTCCTCGTCTTCGTTGGCGGCTCCTACGTGATGGGAATGAGCAGCAGAGATCTCAGAGCTACTGGCCTCTCGTTTAGAATCTCCTCCAATCTTCCACAGCTCCACGCGCTTCCCAGTCCTCTGGACTGTGCGAAGAACTCGCTTGGTGCTCACTTTGCCGGTCACAGTGACCTTTTGTCGCAGCTTGTCAACATCCACTCGATCCACTCCTGTTCTCCAAAACAAAGAATCGATTGAAAGAGCTAAGCCCAAGAGAAGAAAAAGAGTGGAGTTACCTGGCATAGCCCAGAGAGCGTCTCCTACGATCCTCTTGCACTCCTCGCAATGGATCCCAACCTTCAGCACAACGACATTCTGCCCAAGGATTCACTAGTGAGCAAAGCGAAACGAGAAGAGACTAAGAAGACGGAAGAACCTCAGAGTACTGGCTGCTCGTGTCGTCCGAGTCCTTGAGCCGATCCTCCATTTCATCGTCGCCATCGTCATACGGCTCCTCCTTCCACACTCTGTTATACCACCACTCCCTCGCGGAAGCAACTGGAGACTGGAAAAACTGGAAGTGATCCATCAAAACTTCTCAGCCGGAGTAGAGTGTGTGATCGCCGTGCCTGAAGTTCTCACCACACAAGCCCACTGCCCTGATCCACCACCGAGCTCGGCTTTTAAACAGCGCGGAGTTCTACGCTAGCGCTACTACCACTACCACCATGCCACGGGGTTACGATGCTCCTCCTGTCTCTGCCTAGTCTATCTCACTCTAGCCTCCGCTCCTCTCGTGAGCCGAGGGTCGGTCGGATACTCGTGACCAAATCCCAGAGCATCTCCTTCAACGGTAACACCACGGTGCGCAATCCACTGCCGCTGGCTCCTTACTGCACGCTGTTCTTCAACCAATGAGTCACACTGGCTTGAATGTTTTCAGCGCCCCTCCCTCTCTGCCTGTTGTGTTGTCCTTGGTATCTTTTAAATCTTGGGAAAAGTGAGACGGTGACTCTGCTCTCTTTCTTAATTCTTCGGCTGCAAAAACCAAAGTAAAGAGGAGTAAATAAATGGAAAAGAAAAAGAGGGAAAAAAAAGCGGACTGACTGATACCACAAGCTGCAGAGCATGATCGTGATCCGCGGCACTTTGTTCCCGATCATGTCCAAGCTCGATCGATCCACCTGAAAAAGCCACTGGTCAGCAGCTTTTGGATCGAGAGTAAAGCAAGCATTACCTTTGAACTTTGAAGCCCACCGTTCCACGGCAATTCAAGTGTTTGTCTGTTGCAGCTCGCCTTCCCACTGAAACATGTCTTCTCGATATTGCGTTAGCTGCCAGTAACCATCAGCTAGTTCCTCCCGTAACTGCAGTGGAGTCCACCCGCAATGCCCCGCTACAAACTTGAACTCCGACGCTGGCAGCTTGTTGGCTTCAATAATTTCGAAGACTTTCTCGGTTGCAGAGGGACCACCCGCAGAGAGGCCATACGAAACTGTACCGAAGCCTTCCAGGTTCTGGAGCCTAGTGAAGGTGAATATGTACTTGGGACGCGTGTACAGAGGTCCCCCGTAGCCAATCTTCACGTTGTGCCGCTGATCAACAGCTAAAAGTTCCTCCTTCGGCATGTCCTTGTTCATAACCAGCCCCACAACGTAGTCGTCTGTCACGGAAACAATGACGACTGCCGAGTTTGCGAAGTTTGGAGAGTTGGCCGAAAGTTTCTCGGTGGCTAAAAGGACGTGACCAATTCCGATGCGTTCTCCCTCTTGTGAAGTCTCGTCGAGGTTTTGCTGGATTGTTATCGTCGAGGGTGGCTGAACGGTCGAGGTCCCGTGCTTTGCGATAAAATGTAGGATGCCGCTTACCGTCGGGGCACCTTTGTATACGGAGACTTTGTCTTTGTCTTCTGAAGGAAATAATAGAAGAGATGGAAACTCTTGATTCTACAAAAGAAAAAAAAAACGTTATAAACAGGAGTGTCTATGAGCAATGAATTTGTGCATTACCTCCACAACATTTGCTAGTATATGGCTACAATCGTTGCTTCCACAGTCCATCTGATAGAAGCTGGGAACTATTAGCTCCACGCTTTTTGAATCTGCAAATCAAGGAAAGGTTAACTTCTTGAGTAGCTGATCCAAATCTTACCGTCTTTACCCTGGATCAAGAAGTATTTGTATACTTCATGCATAGCAAGCTCCATTCTCTTGCAGAACCCGCACCATGGGAGCGTAAACATAACCAAGGAAGTCGAACTGCTTTTAGAAGAATTTGTCCGGCCTTTTCTAAATCCCATCACCAGTTCTGGAAACGTCTCGAGTGACACGCTAGGAACGGGATGAGTTCGGTGAAAATCTCGATTCACGAATGGAGGTGTGACTGCTTTTCGTGAAACAACTGGAGCTTGAGTTGATTTCAGCGTAGCCAGGACAGCACCGGATAGAGTTCCATCGAGGAATTCCACAAGGCCTTCAAAACTTAGAGGAATGTCGTCTGGATAGACATATCGTGCGTTCCTGTCGGGAAAAACTGCTACCAATGACGGCCTGCTGTTGCTTGTTCCAGTTAGAAATTCTTGCAGTGCATACGCACTATCAAAGAAGCCAAAGTTGAACCTCCACTCGTCTACGTCTTCTTGAGACTTCATATCCTCGTGCTCTTGCATGGCTTCGTTAGTTCCTTCTGTCGATATCTCCATGGTAACATCCTGATCTTTTCCATGGGCCACCTTGCTGTTTTCCTGCCCCTGCATTCCTTCATCTTCTCCATTCCCTTGAGATTCTGCAGCAAAGTCCCCTTGGCTGGTTTCATGAGCAGATTCTGCTGTTATATCTTGCGAAGTTCCTTTGTCAACGACCGCAGTAGTTTCTGGATCATCTTTGCCACCTGTGCCTTGGAGCAAAAGCTGCAAGATCCTTGCTATGCCTGCTCCTAAATCTTTCTGGCCGAGTGTGATGGTCTGACCATTTTTCACGACGACACCACGAAACATTACCGGCTGGTCCTGCTCAATAACCACGGGGACTACTTTGGAATCGTTACGAGAGGTCTTCCACTGGTGCGATCTTTCATAGTACCTGGCAACTTCGCGGACGATACGCAATGCCTCGATGCTTTCACCTCTAAGTTCCGGTGAGAAAGATAAGAAGAGAAATACCGACGGCCTGTCGCGAGGGATTTCTTGTGTGTCCTGGTCCACCTAAAAGACGAATATAACGAGTGAGCTCCACTATCCAAGCGAGAAAAACTTGCCTCGAAACGTACCTCATCCACAACTACACCAGTGTTCTCCAAAAAGTCGTCGAGCAAAGCCGGATCATCCAAAACTCGCCAAGAGCGAGAGATGTCTTCGGTGCGTCTCAAGAGAAACCATGGCTTGCCGTCTGGAATCTCAAGCCCTGCATCTTCGAGCACCTGAGCCAGCGTGATAACTCCAAACCTCGCTGATAGCGGTGTAAGAAAGCTCGCGCTTGCAGCCTCCGTGAGGTTGCCATAGAAGGAACTAAAGACGAGCTCATCACGTCGAGAGCCACACGAAGAAGTCTCGTTCGCTGTCTCATATAGTACGCTCTCGGGCTGTCCAAACTTTGGCTCGTTGTTCTCGTAGTCTTCCACAATCCTGCCAGTCTCTAGCGTCCACCCACAGAGATCCACCAAGACAAAAGCTCTGTCCGTGGAGCCAATGAATTCCTGTAAATCGCCCACTGTGTGGAGAGGCTGGAATAGCTCCGATACCAAGGCGTGATCTACCGCAGCTAGCACTCGCTCGGCCGAGAGCTTGCCCCTATACTGGAAAGTTTCTCCCGACTTGTGCAGTGTGAGGGACATCCAAGTTCTTTGTTCGTCCCTGTGTGTGTGCGCGATGCGCAGTTCCAGATTTCCAGCGCATTCTGGCCTCTCGCGGCTCAGGAGCTCGAGAAACTCGCGCATGAAGCTCTTGGCCTCGCCATTCCCTGGATCCATCCAAATTCCAGTTCATCTCGAGAAATCTAAGAGTGGAAGACTTACATGGAAAAGTAGCGAGACAGAGGATTAGATCGTGGTCCTGGAGCTCGCCCCAGCTCTGGAGCGGCTTCCATTGTAGCTCCGCGGCACCGGCAATGGAGCGCAGCAGCACGATCGCTCCTAGCAACACCGCGAGGAACTCCATGAACCCTAAACGACATATATAAATCCGGACAGAGAGTATGTGTGACTGTTGAAGTAACAGACTCCTTATATCCCCAATGTTTTTCAGTAACTGGTGAGTCATCATTTGTCCAGGAAAATCATCTCTGGTATGACAGACATCAACTTGGGCTGATGCACAAAACACTCTTTAGTTTCTAGAGCTGGTTCCTTAACAATAGGCTTTCAAAATTTTGCTTGAAACGGATAACCTCATGGTGTTCAAGATTGATAACAAATCGGTTTTTAGCATTCCTTGTTAATGCAATCATCCCGTGCTCTCTTTATATGTTTACATATGATGAGAGTTTAAAATGTAATTATCAGCAGATGATGTTAACTTTCTGGCTGCTAGATACACAATTATATAGGACAAATTAGATGCTTATACTTTCTGTCATATATATGAATTGATTATTACAAGTTTGGATTGCAGTAGCTTGTGAGTCATTCATTACCTATGAAGGGGTACAAATTGTTATGAAGAACACTAGCACTTGCCCAGCATATGCTGCCTAGTTGGCAAAATACTGTTTTGATAATTATAATTTTGTTATATTAAAAACTAAAATTGGAATAGTATCAAAAAATAAATATTATATTCTACTTTGAAAGAAGAATTGAAGGAATTATACCCAACAAATGTTAGGTGAACACAAAAATCAATTCTTGTAAACTTGATAATATAAATATTTAGAACTGTGAGTGCATGGAATATGGAAAGGAAATACAGAAATGTGCATATTCAATTAGCCCAAAAACCCTAGCTTATATACAGGAGCGAGTGGTCCGGATTGAAACCAATCTGACGGCTACCAAAATCCACTACGCTAATATTAGTATACGGCATCGTAGCCGTACACTTGGCCCTCACATCATCCCCTCCTCTCGGAATAATGGAAGGCTGTCAGGGTTCTCTTGTAGATGGGCCGGGATCTGGAGGAACGTCAGGAGGAGGCATTGGTGGATCTGTAGACGGTATTAACTGCTCCTGATCCCTTTGTATGAAGCGTTTTAACCGCTGCACATGCACAATCTCCGGAGGATTGGCCTGCTGAACGTCATGCCGAACCTCATAAACTTGTGGTCCAACTTGCCGCAACACCCGATACGGTCCTTTCCACTGCGCAAGGAGCCCCTTAGATAAACCACGTACCGTAAGATGGGGAAAACGGACTAACACCAAATCATCCACTTTGTACTCCGCAGGTGGACGATGATGGGAATTGTAGCGCCGTTGTTGTCCCACTTGTACGCGGCCTAAGTGTTCAGCAGACTCTGCTCGGACAAGTGGAAGAATGCTTGTCAAATATTGATCCCATGACCTAGCATCAGGAGCTCGTGGCAATCGCAAAGGTAAACCCAGCTCTGTTGGTAATATTGGATCATGACTATATAGAAGTTTATATGGTGAAGCACCAACAGAACTCTGCACCCCTGTGACATAGGCATACCGAAGAGACGGCAAATAACCATCCCAATCCGAATGTTGAAAGTTCACATACTTCGCAATCATCCCTTTGAATGTCCGAACGAGCCGTTCCACCAGACCGTCTGATTGTGGATGATAAGCACTCGTAAAAGTGTGGCGTATCCCCAACCGAGATGTCAAAACATGAAATACCTCAGCCATAAATGTAGGACCATTATCCGAAAGAATCCGCTCTGGACAAGAATGCTGGAACACCACTCGATTGAGGAGGAAGTATCCAACAGCAGTTGCAGAGGCACTAGCAAGAGCACCAACTTCCACCCAACGAGTCAAGTAGTCAGAAGCAATAATAACATACTCATTGCTAGCAGTCGATCGTGGAAAAGGTCCCATAAGATCAAACGCCACCAACTCAAACGGTCGGGAAACTGCAATTGACTCCAACCGTCCTTCCGCAGCACAAGGAGGAGTATTACGAGCTTGGCACCAAACGCAGCTACGCACATACCGGATAATATCACGTCGCATCTCTGGCCAATAGAAAGACCTGCGTAGCTTCTCGGTGACACGACAGTGTCCCATATGCCCACCTAGAACAGGAGAATCATGGTAGGCATGGAGAAACCGCGGAATAAACACTGAAGGCACCACCAGCCGTAAATGATCAGCAGGATCTGTCCCCACAAAATAAAGAAGGCCATCTTCAAGGCGATATTGAGAATGTAAATGCCGAAAAGGCAAGTCATCAGCAAGTGATGCAGGATTCTCAAACCCATCTCGAAGCCTTCGAATCCACGGCTCAATCTTTTGAGCCTCGCGAACCTCATCAAGAGAAGGTAGATCTTGCTCTACGCCCTGTGGACACTGAACGTCAAGGACAGCAACCGCCGACGGCACAGAATCCTCATCTAGAAAATCCACAAATGCTGGAACAACAGGTTCGTCAGAAACATGAGAAGTGAGTGGAGAAGGAAGAGGAGCTCGAGAAAAAGCATCAGCATCAGCCATAGAACTCCCTGGGCGATGAACAACATCAAAATCATATATCTGAAGCTTCAAAGCCCATCGAGCCGTACGACCAACCAGGTTCTTCCGCTTCAATAATGAAGTAACAGCAGCATGGTCACCTTCAAGTAACGTCCGAGAACCATGTAGATATGCATGAAGTTTCTCGAAACCCCAGACTGCTGCTAAACACTCCTTCTCCGTCGTGGAGTAGTTCATCTCCGCTGGTTGTAATGTACGGCTGATGTATGCAATGGGATGGTGCTGACCAGGCACACTGGAGCTCTCTTGCATCAACACACCTCCAAGACCAATATCAGAAGCATCCACGCGCAAAATAAAAGGTCGAGTGTAGTCAGGATATGCCAAAACCGGAGGAGTCGTCAATAGCTCTTTGAGATTCATGAACGCCCGCTCACAATCGGGAGACCAGATGAAAGATGACGTTGATGACTTCAGCAACGCTCGCAATGGTGTAGTGCGATCGGAAAGATGATCCACAAAACGACCGAGATACTGCACCTTACCCAAAAAGCGCTGCACATCATTCACACACTTTGGAGTAGGGAACTTTAGAACAGCCACAAGTTTGTCAGGATCAACTTGCAAACCCTCACGAGAAATACGGTACCCAAGATAAGTTGTGTCCTTGGACCCAAACACGCACTTCGACCGCTTCAGCTTTAAACTAACGTCGCGTAGCCGATCCAACACTTTACAAACATCACGAACATGCTCCTCCCACGTCCCCTCCGAGTGGATCAAGACATCATCAATGAAGTCAGCCGTCACCTCCGGCATATCGCAAAGAACCTCGTCCATCATCCGCTGAAAAGTTGTTGGAGCATTGTTCAAACCAAACGGCATCACCAAAAACTCGTACAAACCAAATGGTGTACGAAAAGCAGTCTTAAGAATATCTTCTTCAGCCATCGGTACTTGCCAATACCCAAAAGCAAGATCTAGCTTGGTGAACCAACGACTTCACCCCAGACGATCCAAGATATCAGCAGTGTGAGGAAGAGGGTACACGTCCGGGATCATCACTTCATTTAACGGACGATAGTCGATGTAGAAATGAATACTCCCATCAGACTTCGTCACAAGATGAGGTTCACATGCCCAAGGACTCCGCGACTTCCGAATAACACCCTTCTCCAACATCTCCTTGACGTTTGCACGTAAAATCTTGATCTCCTTGGGTGACCGACGACGAACATGAACCTTGATTGGACGAGCATCCCCGGTTAGAATGGGATGACGTGTGGCAATCTTGGCCCCAGACGATAGGTCAAACTCAAAGAGATCAGAATACTCCTTCATGAGTTGGTCAACAGCTGCAACACAAAGATCATCGGAGGGATCGGAAAAGGGAAGAGCAGAACAAGATGGAAACACAAGAGGAAATAGTGGGGGAACAAAAGTAATGGAAGCAGAGGTAGAAGTAGAGGGACGAAGAGGTACGGAAGTGAGAGGAATGGATGAAACATAAGGAAGTATGAGACAAGGGGGAGAAGCCTCAAAGTCACACTTGGCATGATTGTGCTGCAACCAATCCATACCAAGAATGAGGTCAAAAGCTTGACTCAGCACCACCCGCAACGACTGCAACTCAAGCTCGAGATCGCCCACACGCACAACCAGGTCCGCCTCATCTCGTGCACATGCATGTGTACGGCCGTTGCCATAAAGAATGAAAACTGGATCCGCCGCACGACGCAAGTGTAGACGACAACGTGTGGCAACAGGTCGAGCAATAGAAGATAAACTCGAACCTGTATCAACCAACACGGAGAGAAGAATAGGAGACCTCTTGTTATAAAAACGAGCTTGGAAAGTAAACACTGGATGAACCGGTGCCGAGTGAACCCCTTGATGATACTCCCGAAATAAAGATAGAGGGGTCACTAACTTATTCGTGCAAGGTCCCTCCATTACTCGCGCGACTCCTCGTTTCCCGAATGCACCTCGGTATCCAAACCTTCCACCGCAGCAGCACCAACGGGACGTTGCTGACGCCAAGGTCTCCACCCAGGAAATGGAGGTCGCCAATCCGGAAAGCGCCGACAACGCCGATAAATATGACCAACTTCATCACACGCCCAGCAACGAACGTCACGGCCACGACCACGTCCTCGCCCTTGTCCTTGGACTCGAGTAGCAGCAGCATCAACCTCCATGGGAACAGGACCATCACTCATAGGAAGTGGAGTTGAATGACGTGTAGCAAGAAGTGGAAGAGGCGACGTCTCATAACGTTGTGCCAAGCGAAGAGCATCGTCAAGAGTGGCAGGAGCAAGTGCATGCACAAGTCCGACAAGATCTTGACGAAGTGCTAGCCACAGCATTCCTAGCTTGATCCGCTCCGACATATTTGGCTCCGCACGAAGCAAAAGACTTCGGAAACGAACGCCAAATTGCATCACCGACTCAGATGGCCCTTGGCGAAGACGATGCAATTGTTGGAAGGCATCATCACAATCGTCGACGTGTCCGAAGGCGCGTTTGAAGACGTCCGGAAGAACACTCCAATCACCACGAGTAGCTGCGCTCAATCCATTGTACCACTGCAATGCCGTCCCTTGGAGACATGTGGGGAACTCACGCAAACGTCAAGCATCATTCCAAGAATGATATGTGGCAATCACCGTGAAGTGATCGAACCAATGGTACACATCATCTCCAGGATTCCCACGAAAGAACTCCGGCCGAACGCGAGGATTGGCACCAAAAGCAGGAGGAGTTGTACCATGTGCCGTGAACGCCGCCATCAACTGAGTTTGGTTGTTCAATTGCAAGCGCATAGCATCAAGCAATTGAACCACCTACTGCTCTAGAGTCAAAGGAGGAGATTGCGAATCGGCCATGAAAATGAATGAAAAAGAAAGAGCAAAAGAAGAGAAATGACAAAAAGCTGGAAAGAAATGGCGGATCTAGACAATGCAAAAAGCTAGATCTAAACCAAAATCCTGAAAGGAAAGAACAAAAGAAAGGAAATGGAAAAAGCTAGATCTAGACAATGCAAAAGCTAAATCTAAACCGAAATCCCAAATCCAAGCACTCCCCAGGGACAATCAAAGGTGCCCCTCACCTCCACCAATGTGAGTGCATGGAATATGGAAAGGGAATACAGAAATGTGCATATATCAATTAGCCCAAAAACCCTAGCTTATATATAGGAGCGAGTGGTCCGGATTGAAACCAATCCGACGGCTACCAAAATCCACTACGCTAATATTAGTATACGGCATCGTAGCCATACACTTGGCCCTCACAGAACAAAATATATTCCTAGGCATAAGTAAGAATAAATATTCATTAATAAAAATATTTGATACAAATTATTATTTAAAAATATGAATATATTTAGAAAAATACCGGACAAAAAAAATAAACAGGAAATTTCTATTATTAATAATATGTTATATGTAAACTACATCTTCTTCCTTGATGTTCTTCCTTAAATTATTCGTGGGTGAAGAGTCCTGATGGAGATATTATCGACTGCGTTCCCAGCCGGCATTCGATCATCCATTGCTGCAAGGCTCCAAGCTACAGGTTCTCATATAAATTCTCACTTCCTTAGAAATCTCCTCTAACTTTCATGCCTGCTTGTTTGATCGGTGGTAAACTTGGTTCCCACGTTTGCGTGTTTTCCTTCGAGCATTCGTATAGTTACGTGATTCTTCTTGTTCTACCATTTTGCTCGAGGCATTGGTGTGACTGATCGAGCGAATTTTTTGCTATCAACTTTACAGATCTCGCCATCAAATTCCTCGTTTCTTCTGGCCTCCAAGAGTGGCACCAAGCCGGCCAGCGTTGTCCCAAAGGCAGCATTCCAGTCCGCCGGACGCTCGAGCTGGACGTGGAGAGAATCGCTCAGCAGCGCAAAAATCACTCGATCGATTCCTTTGCTCGCAAATCCCAGGGCCCTCCACACGTAGACAGCCACAACAGCCCTACGTCAACTCGAAACACCTGGTTCCTACAAACAGAGTTGATCCCGAGCATGTGCTGAAACAAAAATCCCTCACCAGGCCCAGCAGCAAAGGATTTCTCGAGAGAATCCGGGGATGAAGAGGGAGTGTCCTTGATAATTGCTTTCCTGTAGGCCAAAGAGCTCGTGAGGCAGTGGCGAACAGGGATCATACCAAAGGCTGCCGCAAATGGGAGGATTTCCTCACACCAGAATGGCCGCCATTCAAGAACACGTCTGGATGGAAGCTCGACGAAATATTTCGACTTCTTGGTGATTGGGAGCAGTGTTGCTGGCCTTCGGTATACGCAATGTTGCCAGGTTGCGTCCGGTGGGGCGTCTTCTCCGACCTCATGAGCTCGGCTTGGCATAGGGCCTGGTAAGCCAGCATCTCCTGCTTCGCCTGGGCCTCGTTGATCCTACCATTCTACTCGCCCCTGTTACTTACCACGCACAGGCTCTCACGGGAATGCCCACACAACCGTGTCCGACCAGAGTAGCCATGGAGCCCTAGGAGTGCATGGCATAACACTTGTCACCACGCCCTCTTCCCTTCCCGGCCACGCGTGCATCTTGCCCATTGGCCGCCACAACATTGAGCCGATATTCCCGCTAACCATGGCCACCGGCCCTGGCCCGAGCCTGGGCTGGCCTCCCCTTGCCGAGAACCATGGCTTCCGAGGCTGCCCCGGGCCTGGGATCGGACGGCTGCGGGGGTGTGGGTTCTTCGTTCTTATTATTATAGATGTTGGAGATAGTCCACCACTATTAGCTATGGAATCTTAAAGTGGCATAGCATAAGCAAAGGCATAAGAGACAAGTTAAAGAAGGCTACTATACAACATTGCAATTTTTAGCCAGTAAAGAATCTCAGGTGCACTAGACACTTTGAAAGTTAACACCTTAGTTCCAATTTCACAGTGTTTTTGTCCTCCATAAAACTTGTAGATAGTTTTTGTCGCTACAAACAGGTACTCGAGGGCACTGCTACTGCTGCTGCCTTGCTCTTCCCCAACTTCCTCACCCCCTTCTGTTCTACTGGTTTCTTTCCTTTAGCCATTCTTTACCTCAAAAACTTTGATCCGAGGTATAGCTTACGTTTTCCTGCTCTTCAAAGTGGTGTTTTGTTTTCTCCTTATTGTTTTGCAGGAATCTGCTGTTCAAGCACGTGGAATCCTCAAACCACTATGCTCTTAAGCAAAAGTAAAACAATCACAGGAATAAAACAGGCACGTACAAAGAATTAAAAGAGAGAAAAGATAGGTACGATTGATTCTCCCATGGACTAACTAATTTTATAGTGAAGTATTCAACTCAATCAGCAACTCCTTTATATATATCCCAAGGGAGCCTGCAGTAATGTCTCAAATTCCAGAGCCAAAAGACACCGTGGCCAGCAGGAGTGTGCCTTCGGGAACGATCATCACGTCTCCTTGCTGGAGGGTGGGCAAACAGGATGTTGCTTGAGTTGACAAACTTGAGATCCACGAGTCCTATGATGAAATGCTCGCGGTGGTAGTGCAACGTTGAAGGCATGGTGTATAAGAATATTAACATTAAAATTTAATTAGAGAAAGTTTAAATCTTTGAATATGTTTGAATATTCTTAAATATTTTAAGTATATCCCTTCCCTTTTAAAGGTGCTTGGCCATCTACCAAAAATGTTGAGAATTTGTGAGAAAAAAGAAGAAGCAAGCAAACAATGTTAGTAATGCTCTTCAAAAAGCTTAGGAGAAAAGTAGACTGCTGCTAGAATTGCTACTAGAATTTCTTTTAGGATGGAAGAAATGTTCCTCTTACTTCATTTACTTTAGAAAACCTAACTTGGCGAAAAAAGCTATGCCACTCTTCTTTGACAATGAAAGGAAGTAGCGTGGTAAAGATCATTCGAAGAAACGAAGGAAGAGGAATGTTGCTTCCTTTCACAAAAGAACTGTAAAAAGTTTATCGATATATAAGCAAAGATAAACAAAGCTCAGTGGATCACAACTTTGAGTTCAAATTGATTACTAGATTAGTAGACTGCACAAGATAATCAGCAAGTCCAAAAGCTTTCGTGGCATCCAAGTGTGCATTACATCCACGCCAAAGGGTCGGGCTCCCAAGGCATGCCACCGATCAACTGCTTGGCCTCCCCAAAAACACGATGGCACCGCTTGGTAATCCCCGCCATGATCGCAAACACCTCCACGCTCTCCTTGACCCGTAAACGTGAAGTTGTCTGTGGCATAGCCCTCCAAGCTATGCCCGTGGATGGCAAATGCTGCAATAAGACTGTTCCAGCTGATAAGTTTTTCTCCACACTCGCAACCGGAGATTGAGGCGAGCTCATATATACTCGAGTATGGACTCTTCTCTCTTAGGACGTACCTGGTTTGCATGGATGCCTCGTGGTCGAGCGCTCCTTACAGTGCGTTTTGGGCATATGCGGCCATCATAGCAGACCACGAGACAGTATCCAAGAACTGCAGCTGGGAAGTAAAAATCCTATCGTGCTTTTCTTTTCTCTGCGGGCAGTAACAAAAGTCACCCTAACTTTCTCAAATCGTGGCACAGTTAGCTTGCTGTGGTCTTCAATCTTTTAAAAAAGATCCAGCTTTCGATAAATTGCCCGGCATGGGTATGTGTTGCATTCATAGGATTTCACGACACAACATTTGGTTACGTGCAATACATTCTCACGCGATCGATCAATCCGCAGCTGGCGTACATCAGCAGCTAATTTACCACCGCGATGTTGCTGGAGAAGCTGCCGCTGGTCGCAGCACGAGATTTCTAGGCTATAAAACCCTTTTTACCGTGAAAATTTTAATGGCTACCCAAGGGAGCCCTTGGCTATACCGCAATCGATAAGATCTGTCCCGTTGCTAGGGTTGGGGGTTCGAATACTATCCCGTGTGAGCCAGAGAAATTCGTAACAAGGTATATACTAGCGGTTAGCCTAAGGGTTTATTTTTATTTATTTATTTAAGTTCTCATACATGAGACTTTACATTTGCGAATCTATCCCAAGTAAAGCTCCGCGTTTCCATCTACAAAGAGGCTCAAAAACTCCTCGCCATCCACAGTCTCTTTCTCGATCAAGAGATTGGCGAGCTTGTGCAAGATCTCAACGTGAGTCGTGATGAGATGCTTGGCTCGAGCGTAGGCCGACTCGACGAGCTCGCGAACCTCGGCGTCGACAACGTCAGCTGTGGCCATGGAGTAATCGGATTGCTGAGAAAGCTGCGAAGAACAAAGAAAAAGAGAGAGTAAGTTTCAGTTTCTACTTTTGTTTCTGATTTTGCGCAAGAACCTGTTGGCCGAGGAAAGGATTTCCACCAGAGCCACCGAGAGCGACCTGGCCAATCTTGTTGCTGAATCCAAATCGCTCCACCATCTGGCGTGCAACTCGCGACACTTGCTGGAAATCGTTTGAAGCTCCGGTGGTGACGTTCTCGGGGCCGAAGATCACCTCCTCCGCGATCCTGGAATCGCACGCTTAAAGCAAAGAAAATGGGAAGTTTAGATCACGTACCTTCCACCAAGAGCCACCGCCATCTGGTTCTCCAAGTAGCTTCGGCTGTATAAACCTGACTCAAGTCTCTCCTCGCTGGGTGCGAAAAAGGTCAAACCTCCGGCTCCACCGCGGGGGATGATGGAAATTTTCGCGACGGGATCATACTCGGGCATCAGTGCTCCAACGAGTGCATGGCCAGCCTCTACATTCAACAAAAACTCGAGTTAAGTACCCGACGAAACTAAGAGTGAGAGTTTGCTTACCGTGGTAAGCAACCAGCTTCTTCCTCTCCTCCGAAACCACAGCATTCTTCTTCTCAGGTCCAGCGATGATTCGTTCCAGAGCATCAGAGATCTCATCTTTGCTAATCTCTTTGAGATCTCTCCTGGCCGCCAGGATGGCCGCTTCGTTCATGAGGTTTTGCAAGTCCGCGCCGGTAAAGCCTGGAGTTCTTCTTGCGATCTTCTCAAAGTCGACATCCTTGCCCAGGGATTTTCCTTTAGAATGGACCTGAAAAGAAAAGAAAAGAAAAACGTAAGTAAGAACGTTATCAAAACTTCAGCTTTACCTCCAAAATCCTCACTCGTCCAGCCACATCAGGTCTGTCAACCGTCACTTGCCGATCAAATCGGCCAGGTCTCAAGAGAGCAGAGTCGAGCACGTCGGGCCTGTTCGTGGCAGCCAAAACTATGACTCCACTGTTCCCAGAAAAACCATCCATCTCAGTGAGCAGCTGGTTGATAGTTTGCTCGCGCTCGTCATTTCCACCACCCAGGCCAGCACCTCTCTGCCTGCCGACGGCATCAATCTCGTCGATGAACACAATGCATGGAGCCTTCCCCTTGGCCTTCTCGAACAAGTCCCTTACACGGGAGGCTCCAACACCGACAAAGAGCTCCACGAATTCAGAGGCGGCGCACGAGAAGAACGGCACACCGGCTTCACCAGCAACAGCCCTCGCTAGCAAAGTTTTCCCAGTCCCTGGAGGGCCGACGAGCAGGCAGCCTTTTGGAATTTTAGCACCCAAGGCCGTGTACTTCTCCGGGTTCTTCAAGAAGTCGACCACCTCCTGGAGCTCCAGCTTTGCCTGGTCGGCTCCAGCAACGTCCGCGAATGTAACCCCCGTCTCTGGAACCTCTTGGAACTTGGATTTCGATCGTCCAAAGTCCATGGGACCTCCAAGGCCTCCGGGACCGCCAGGACCTCCCTGAGCTCTCCGGAAGAGCAAGAACAAGCCTCCGAAAGCAAGCAGTGGAAAGAGGAGATTGCCGAGGATGTTGAAGAGATTGTTGCCGGACTCTCCCTCCGAGACCGAGATATCCACTCCATTCATGGCGAGGATATCGACGAGGTCGGGATCGTTTGGAACGATCACTGCTGCTCGTCGCCCGTCCACGGCGGTGAGCTGGAGAACGCTGCCATCCCTGCTAAACCTCACTCTCTCCACCTTCCCTCCCTTCACCGCGTTCAAAAACTCGCTGTATCGCCACTGGTTTCCCTCTGGAAGATCGAGTTTCTTCCGGGCCTCCACCGGCGGAGCTTCCATGAGTGAGAATGGCGACCCCGCCGCTGGGGTCTGCTCGATTTGCTGCGCCTGGGGGGCTGGAGGAGGCTGGACGTCCACGGCCATGGCGGGACTGGCGCCAGAGATCGCTAGAACAACCGACGCCAGCGTCGCCGCCGGGAATTTCGATTGCGAAGCGCGCGCGATGACGATGCATTGCTGGGGAGGAGATTTGTGCGGTGTGAATGCCGATCGTCTCAAGCGAGTAGCGCTAGTACCTTGTAGAAGCGGATGGAACGCCAATGCGCACGACGCCGATGCCGCCATAGCTGCTGGAAGAACCCTAGAAAATGTGGGTATCTATCTTCGTGTCATTCTTTGGAGCCACAAAGACGAGACCGACCCTTGCTGGCCAGGGAACTTTTAAGCCGCGAGATTAGTTTCGACATTAGATTATCTTGCTCGTCCTAAGTAAATACGATGCTTGTTCTCGCGAAGAACCCTAAATAAATTATGAGAGGGGGAGCGATGGAAGGCGCGGTGGCAGCTGCGGATCAATCGCTCGATCCTGCCGCTGTTCCATCGGCCTACTCTTCCTTCTCGAATCTGCCGCTGGTAGCAGCCTTCGTTTCGTTCGTGGCCGCGCAATCGCTCAAGATCGTCACCACCTGGTAGGGATTTCTGGGGTTTTCGATCCCTAGGATCAATGCGCTCGGTGCTAGGTCCGCAGGTACAAGGAGAAGCGGTGGGATTTGAAGAGAATGGCTGGATCGGGGGGAATGCCGTCGTCGCATTCCGCCACTGTGATCGGGCTCACTGTTGCGATTGGGCTCCGGGACGGCACTGGAGGATCTCTCTTTGCGATTGCGCTGGTCTTGGCGAGCATAGTAAGTTTCTTCCTCGTTGACGTCGAGAAATATGTGAACTTTCTCTTCTTTTTTATTTTTCTCCCAGGTTATGTACGATGCGTCTAGTGTCAGGTTTCATGCTGGGAGGCAAGCCGAGGTAAAAGTGCGAGTCACTTCTTCGCTCATTCCGAAAGAGTTTTGCGTGATCCAGGTGTTGAACCAGATAGTGTTTGAGCTACCACCGGAGCATCCTTTGGCAGACTCTAGACCCTTGAGAGAGCCTCTTGGACACACTCCACCACAGGTAACGTTGTGTACTTCTCGTTTCTTCTGCATCGATTTTCTGTTCCAGGTTGCTGCCGGTGCTGCTCTTGGGTGCTTCATCGCCTACATCTTGTACTTGATATCCTTACTGGGAGTTTGATTGGTGGTATATATTGTTAAGCTTCTGATTACGAGTGGATCTGTGCTAACGTGATACCAATTTTCACGTAGCGAGGTCTGCGAGAATCTCAGCTGATTCAGGTACTTGTAAAACGATTGCCTTTTAATGGATCTGCGTGTTTTATTTTCGAAGGCTCGACAAGATCTTTTTAACTATAATCTACTCGAACGTTTTATTTGAAACTCAATGAAAGAAAAACTGCGATCGCAAATACGAGGGCAACGGCAGGCAAGTTATGTATAAGCTGGAAGAAAAGCTGACTGTTGAAGAGGAAGAATAAACTTACATGATTGAACAGGCATTGGGATTTTCTTCACTGAACATAGTACTGAATCCAGTGTTGGCAGGAGGAACGCGGTCGTGGTACGCGTAGCTGTAACCTGGGTGGTAGCTCTGCTCGGTGGTATAGAACTTTTGCTCATGTCCGCGGTCCTGATTTCGGTAATTTCCTTCAGGTTGTTGTCGATACCTTGGCTGCTCGTAGTCATCCTCGAACGAGACATACTTCGGAGCTACCTGCGACTTTTGCTTCTTCTGGTTGCTATTGGACTTTCGATCACCGTCGAAGCGAGAGGTATCCATGTACGGTGATTTGTTGTGCTCATTGCTGTAAGTGGAGCCTGATGACTTGTGCTCATTGTTGTAGGTGGAGGCGCCATATCCCGACTTTTTAAACTCGTGGCCGGACTGCTTATGATGATTACCGTAAAGTCCAGTGGAATTCTCGTCATCGTAGCCTGAACGGATGTTGGGCTTCTTGACACTGTCGCTGAAGTCACTGTCGTCTTCCGAGCCAGAATGTGAGAGATCATCGTACTCGGACCGGGTATCGACCTTGTAGTTGGCCTTCTTTTCCTTCGCCGACTTGAAACCTTCGGACTTTTGGCTCTTCGGGGACTTGAATTCGCCATAGTGATCAAACTTCTCGTTCTTGGGGGACTTGGAATCGCCATAGAAGTCGGACTTCTGCTGGTGCTTTTGAGGCTTGACATCGCCATAGAAGTCGGACATTTGCTGGTTCTTTTGAGGCTTGACATCGCCATAGAAGTCGGACTTCTGCTGGTTCTTTTGAGGCTTGATATCATCGTAGAAGTCGGACTTCTGCTGGTTCTTTTGAGGCTTGGCATCGCTGTAGAAGTCGGACTTTTGGTTCTTGGAGGACTTGAAGCTGCCAAAGAACGAGTCAGACTTCTGGTTCTTTTGGTTCTTCTGGGGCTTGGCATCGGTGTGGAAGTCGGAGGACTTTTGGCCCTTGGGGGACTTGAAATCACCGTAGCCGCCGGAATTCTGGTTCTTCTGAGGCTTGAGGTCGCCGTAGAAGTCGGACTTCTGGTTCTTTTGAGGCTTGAGATCGCCGAAGTAGTCGGTCTTCTGACTTTTCTGGGGCTTGAGATCGCTGTAGAAGTCGGACATCTGGTTTTTGGGGGACTTGAAATCGCCATACAAGTCGGACTTGCCTCCGTCCTTGCCGTAAAACTGCATTTTGGGTGAATGCTCGTAGTCGGAGGCTTCAGACAAGTATTCGGGCTGAGGATGGAAGGAACGGTCGTGTTCGTTCGACTTGTTGCTGCTTTGGAAGCTTTTGTTACCGTTGTTTCCCTTCGGACCTCCTTTCGAAGCTTTGCTCGGGGTGGTCATGACAGGCTGAGATCCATACAGGTTCTTGTTGCCGTTGCCGTTTGGATAGTTCCACAGCTCCACAGGCTTCCCAGTTTTCTTCACCGCTTTCAAGAGCTTCGACGGATCGACAAATCCGGTTACTTTGATCCATTCTCTGTTTTTATCTACATCAACTGAGGCGGTGCCTGGACGAAGAAAGCAATGTGTGAGGAGGCCACACTGAAGATCACTCGCTATAGCTCACCTTTGACGTTAAACAGTGCCTTCTTCACTCTCCGCTCGCAGCCTTCGCAGTGCAGTCCGACTTTGAGTATCACGGTCTGCAAGTTTTCAAGCTGAGTCAGGAAAGCGAGTTCGAGGACGACCTGCTTCTTCTTACCTGCATGCTGGTGGTGGTGGTGGTGGCTATGGTGTTGGTCATTGTAGAAGATGCAACACATAGATTGCAAGGCAGATTCTGGATTTGAAGACGACTATCAAAGCCGAGCGGGATGCGTTTCCTGTGCGACTCAGGAAGCAACTGTCGTACAGACACGATATGTTTTATAGAATGGAGGCGCTAGAGCAAGAGCCTTGGAAGAAAAGCCATGAGTATATATCAGAGCGCAGGAGGCAGGCACACTCTGGGAAGGAGCTTCACATCGACAACCTGGAAAGGAGAAAAAGCAATGCGGCCACAGTGCACTAGCTGGAGCTCCTCCTGGAAGCTACGCAAGGACCGAGCAAAACCGAGGAAAGAGGAAGAGTAGAATAAGGGGCTGATCTCACTCAAAGTTAGTCGTTTCCTCCTACTGCTGCAAGAGCCTAGCAAGCGATCAGGGAGAAGCTGTATTTTGATGGTCGACAGTCCGTGCTTCCAGGCGTGCTTTTGGGACTGAGCGGAGCTGAGGTAGCCGTGAAAGCAAAGAAAGAGTGGCAATTCCAGGAGCTGAGCAGCAGCAGCAGCAGCAGTGCAGGGAACTGGAGTGGTGGCGAGCAGCGAGTGGATGAGCGGCTGGCTCGTGACGCTAGAAAAAGAGAGTAGCAGAAACGCGGGGGCGGAGGAAGGGAAGACGAGAAGAAGCAGCGAGCAAGTCACCAAAATATCATGTCATTCCGGGCTGGCTTTTTTCTGCTCCGTATACCACACCGAGAGGTACTCATTGGCCTTTCCAGGCTGCCACCGGCAAGCGAATCCCAAATGCAGGAGGAATGAATCTCAACAAGCTCGCGTCAAAGGCTAGCGCATCAACGCGGAGGTAAGGCTAAGGCTATACATATAGTTAGTGATGACTTACTGAACTTTTGTGGTGATTTTAGCTCTTTACTGGAGCACTAAACGAGGTAAGTGCTTGCTTTTTTATCTCCTTTTACATTGATTGAGGTGGCTGCTCTACTTTTTCAGGTTTCTACTACCAAGGACGTTGTTTAGAGTCCCGGCAGTGGGGTGGTTGCATTGGTACGTACGTTTTTTTATTTTTCTAGAGCGCGTCTCCTCCTAGATCTGATTGTCTTAGCTATTAGCTAATTCTTGGCACGTTTATCTACTCAGAGCAAACGTGGAGAAAACAAAAGGCGTACGGCATGCCCGTTCTGCCAGCCACTCGTACGCGTGCAAGCCACGAGATCTGATTGCTACTACCAGCCAGCCAAGATAAAAAAAATGAAGAAAATGGGGTACACACGAGGTTTCTTTCTTGCAATTGCTTCCCCAACGTTCTACTTACACAGGCGGTCTTTATTTTATAGAGCGGGCTCACATGGTTTGCGCCTAGGAAACCTCAAACGTTGTTTTCGGGGGTCCGGAGCCCAGCAGCAACATCCAAAGGCTAATACTTTAGCTTTCTTGCCTTGTGTCTTCAGCTCACTGAGGACGATTCCACAAATCAAGCTGCCGCCTCAAGCAGGGACCACTTTGTCGATCGTATAATTCTAAGCGGAGAACCAACCGGTAAGCAAAGGCTTTTGCGAGAAAGCTTTGTGTCTTATCTTACGTTTTTTCTTGTGCTTTCGGACACTTGCTTTTTGTGCTTCGTCCCAGCAGCGGCAGCCAGCGGTGGGACACAGCATTCCTGGGAATTAAAGCTCAAAGGTTTAAAAAAAAGGAAGGAAAGAGAAAGACACTCTGCGTACCTCCGGAGTGGCAGAGGTGGCCTAGAAAATCTTTAAGGGGCGGAGATGGACACGAACGACGCCGACCCGAGCCGAGAGTAAAGTATCTGGGGCTGCTTCTCGCTCGGCTTTGATGTTCTTGTTGACTAAGTGAACACTTCGAAAAACTCTACGCAGCTTTTGTCGCATTCACTGTTGTGTGTGGGATCATGGGAGCCTCGCAGCGCAAACTGGTCCCGGACAGAACTTTGGAAGCCGAGTGCCGGGTAAGCTTGGCTTTGTGCTTGTTGGCTTTGTTTCCAGCCGCTAAAGACACATACTCGTCTTCTTCTCCGATGGTTCTTGCAGCAGCGCTATTTGCCGGCCAAATACGTCGCCATCGATTGTTACGCTTGGAGGGGTGCGCTGTGCTGGGAGGAGAAAGAATCCAGCGGCTATGATTTTTATTCCCGACGCGAGACGTCCACCACTGCGGGTACACAATGTCCCTCTTACGCAAGCAGCACCAAGAAAAAGGTTCGCTTTCTGGCGTAGAAAAAGAAGGATGAAATCTCTTCTAGCAGGATTTTTGCAGAGATTTGGCCGACGCTAGCTCCAGATTACTAGGATATGGACCCCGGAACAATCATCAGAGACAAGGCGGAAACGAAAATATCCATGCTTTTATCCGAGACTTGTATCAAAGTTACGTTCCATTACATCAATCACTGTGTTCGCTACCTGGTTCGTTCTGGATGGACAGACTTTGGATTTTTTTTTTGGTTTGGCTCGATCGAGTCAGCTTACTCGCAGGTTCTCAAATCTCTCCTGTAAAGTTTTGTCTCCTCCACTGGAAAACAAGCTGCCCAGCGCTTGAGCTGCTTGGAGAGCCTGCGTTTGCTTCGTACTCACTCTTTCGAGTCCTTCTAAGTTTGGTGCCGGCGATCTCAGCAAGGAATGTAGCCAGCCGTGTAGAAACGCCGCACGCTAGACACAAAAAGAAGCACTAAGTTTGCGAGCTGTAAGTTGTGGAAAAAGCTCACCTTGTGTAAGAAGTCCTTGAGCGAGCAGTAGTCCTCAGGGCTTGCATATGAAAGGATTTGGAGGAGTGTTGTGTCTAGCTGTAAAATCGGCAATCAAAAGTTGATGGGAAAGAAAGAGAGGTTAAAAAGGAGAAAGAAAGACCTGCTCTGATAGTGTTGACATGTATTTAAAACTCGATGGCGCAGTTTTGCCAGAGTCTAGTGACTCGAGCGCATGGACTAGCCCGTGAAGGACATCACCAAAGGATTCCCCGAAGTCTACATCCATACCAAAGTCTTAGTAATTGATAAAACACATGGAGATTTCACATTACCATCCCGACAGCTGGGAACAGCCAATGCAGATGCCGCGTGTATACGGATTTTGAAGTTTCCGGAATCGCGTAAAAGCAGCAGCAAGATGCTAAACACCGAAGAAGACCTGTTGAGGAAGACAACACTGGTTATGGTACTGTAGTGAAAACGAAACCAAGAAACTCACCATGGCATCTCTGGTAGAGAAATGGTTCTGTTGAGAAATAAATTACCGAGTGCGTGGCACACATTCCATTGAACCTGAAAAAAGCACGTGACTGGCACAATTGAGGCAATAAACGCTGGTCAAAATACCTTCACGTTGCCTGTTGTGATGCACGACACCAGCGTCTGGACCATGCGCCCCAGCCATAAAAGTGGTGGACTCCGGTTTTCGTCGGTCGCAACGCCGTCAGAGAAGTCTGCAAACTTCGCAAGGTTGCCCAATGCTCTGACGGCGTTTGCGCGGACCTGGAAAGACCTCAGAGTTTGTCTGCATAGACAAACCACCTACCTTATCTCCATCTTTAGCTGCCTTCAGTGCAACCTCTGCCAAAGTAGTCAATAATTTCGAGTCACGGGCAATAGCTGTTATAAAAGCAGCATAAGAAGCATCAATACATTAACATGGACATACGTACGTGGGAATCCATTTTCAAAGCTTTTGCAGAAGGCGTCACAGATATTTGCTAAAGCCCAGCAAGACGTGATTCGTACCTGCATCATTTTCAGCTAGTTACAGCTGTGGAGTTAATCACGGGCAAAAAGAAACTAACCGATAAGGCAGCATCTGAGATAGCAGCCTGGATAGTGGCAACGACGGAGTTTAATCTTTGATTCCTGGACGGAACTTGTTAGCAGAATAACTAAGCAAGCAGCTAGACCACCTTTCAACGATCTCACTACAGCCCACTAAAACTCCAATTGCTCTGGAAGCTGCCGAGCGTACAGATGCTGTATCATCTCTAATAGCCGCATTTATCTGAAAAGAACAAGAATCAGACAAAGACGCCCGGAATTTTCAGAGTTTGCTTACGACAGTGGACAGTATGTACTCCTGGTGTTTCTCTGATAAGTTAGAGTAGACGCCTGGTGTTAGACCGGCAAAACAGGTTAATGCAGCTGCTCGGACCTGTAAGCCCTGGTGAGCACGAGGACAAAAAACACGGCAACAACTAACCATAGGGGTACCGTGGTACAGTACTAGTGGAAGAAACTTATTCATGACTTCAAGCCACTGAGATGCTGCAGGATCGAGCTTATCGGGGACATTCTGAACAGTTCTTCCAGTAGCAGTTAGCAGCTTTATTGGTTGAGGCACCAAAGACGGACTCGGCGATGTTGTTGGAAAGTCGAACATATCGTCTGCACCGTTGAAACCAGATAACACTCGCAGCAACTCGTCTAAAAGCTGCCATTTTCCAATGATCACAAACCCGAAAACCAAATGCTTCCCGTGTACCTTTAGCGAATGATATACAGTTTTTTCATCCACGGCCCGAAAATTCCCGACTGGAAATGGAACCTCAGTAATATGTGTAGCGCTTTCATGCTCTATGACTTCGTGAACCACCTCCGCTAGTTCATTCCAGTAAAGAGAAGCCAAAGTAGAGTGACTGTGGACAGCAGCCTTCAATGCCTACACAGTTTTAGACGTGAGGCAACATGCATGAGCACAGAAAACCTTTTACCTGGAGAGCTTCGATACGAACACCTGAAAATGGTGACGCTCTTGCAAGATAGATTAAATTTGCTAGTACTGACTTTTTAGAAACTGCAAGTACTAGTATTAGAAAATGGCTAACTACAAATAATCAAGCCTCACCTTGATTCTGCTCGAGTATAGAGCTCAAGACTTGTGACGATCCTGAAGAAGCCGCCAAAGCTACAGATAAACAGCTAAGTCCTGGAACCTGCTCATTGAAAAAGAATCAGTCATGTTGACAACTGCAGACTTCCTCACCAAAAGTGTCTGATCGGAAGAGGGTGTAAGCTCAAATATTCTTTTGTGTACAGTGTTGATAACGTCATTCAGTACTCCTATTGGAAGACGATCGAATCTGTCAAATTTTGTAGCAAAAGAAAAACAATATTTTGAGAAGATAACTATGAAACAAAGAAAGCTTACGGGCTAGAAGATACGAGTAGTGACAAGGCTTTTAATATCGCAACAAGAACGCCAGATTGAGACTCATTTGAAACCGAATGAAGCAGTCCTAAGAAATGACGATCCAGTAAGCCCCATTTTAAAGTCAAATCCTGAGCATGTACCTGTATAAAGTTGGACAATGATCTGCCCAAGGGATGTGGACAATGTTGTAAACGAGCCGGCTTTTCCCGAGTCCTTGTACTCTGCTACTTGGAGAAAAGCTTTGGCTGGACCTTCCAATAAAGCAGAAATCGTAGACGCTGCAGCAAGACGGGTCTACACTACGCGCTAGTTCAATTTCAAACGTAAGAAAAACCAATATGTACCTTTGAAACTGGATCAAAAATTAGAGTTGTTACCAATGTTGGTTGATACAGACTGCATTATCCACGATGAAACTGAGTTACAAACCTGTTTATTAATCAAAAATAAGATTTTAAGTCGATTAACTTACCGTGGATGTAAAACGTTATGAGTTGGTAGCAGTAACGTCCAATGTGCATGCAGAGATTTCGGGTCAGCTCGAGCTATGGCCTGCATAAGCACAAAAAAAAAAAAGAAAAAAAAAAAAAACAAGAAATCAAAACAACATAAAAGAATAGCTGCGTACTTGGATACAAAGAATTGCGTTTGTCCGAGCCTTCGAGCTTCTGAATTGGTCAGTCTCTTGCGAATTATCGTTATCACTTTGTTCCGAATCTGAAAATAGCGTTCGTTTGTCTGAGTCCAAGCTTGGACTGCTAGACTCTCCACCATCTTGCATCCGAGAACGCAAATGTGGAGGCCTGTACAAACTGCTGCCTTTGCCTTTCAAAACTTCTTGAGGTGCTGTCTGTGAACTTCGAGGTGATGGAACTGTTGCATCGGGGAAAGCTCGAGTGCGATTTCCGGGAAGACCGTATGACACAAACATCCGCAGCACGGCCACAAAACCACCGATCTGCTAAAAAATCAGTACGAAAACCAAAACCTGGCTTTGAATACTCACGTTGTCATCAAGGGGAGCTTTAGCATCAGAGAAAACAATATGCAGGGCACGTAAGATTGCGGCGTAATACCTGCACATAATTGTGAATCAGGTTAGAAAGACACCGTACTTAGTTCACAAACCTGGAAGCCGCGGTCTCTTCTAAAAGTTCCACTCCAACCTGGTCCAGCACTTTGCGAAAAGCCTGGCGATGACACGAGTGGTTACCTACAAATTTTCTACTGATCAAGGCTAACCTGCACGACTTTTTGCCAGGTATCTTTGGTAACAAGAGATCCAGCCCGAGTAAAGACATTCGCAATAGCAGTGTAAATGCTGGAATCAAATCGCCCTCCTTTACGTGCTCTGACTGAGTTGCGCGTGGACGCCACCAACGGCACAAGTCCGAGCACAAGAGCGTTTGCTTCGTCGGATGATAGATGCTGTCCATGACCGTGAACGAAGAACCTGAAACAAAAAAGCTTTAAAACGGAAAAACGAAATGCGAAAGAACCTACGCAAGAGCGTTGACAGTCTCAAAGACGTGATCGCAAGGATGGTTCTCGAGGCCAGCCTTCTGGATGCTCGACACTCCCTGCTCAATCGCTCCGCGAAGAAAACTAAAAACCTGAGCAGCCGACTCCTTGCGAAATTCGAGCTGGGCGGAGGATATCAAATCCACCACCTGGAAGAAAGGGAAACATCGCACCAAAGGAAACAAGAACACGAAGAAACTAGATTACCAGAATGGAAGCTTTCCTGAGGGCCACATTGTCACTCACGAACTTGGACGCCGCGTCTAACAGCGCCAAGATGTCTCCCAGCGCCTGAGAAAGATCGAACAGGGGACAATGTAGACGATCTATAATCCAATACACACACCTCTTGCGATGGAATCTCGAGAGACGAGCGCGCTAGCGCCGGCGCCTGGCCCAGAATCTCCTGCACAGCAGCGGCCTCGTCGAATCCGCGACGTAGGCCTCCAAATGCGCTCCGCCATGCCCTAATCCTCGCGCTGGGGAAGGCCATTGCCACCGTCGCAGCGCCTCAGCCATGCTCCATAATATAAACCCTAATTCCATGGCACATATAGAGATGAAAGAAAGAGAGCTATCGAGGAGAAGCTTGGCAATGGCATGATCAAGGCGCTCTCTTCCATATTTCCAGCGACCATCAAACACTACTCTTCTAGTGATCGTACTCGGCCAGAACCAACGGCTAGGATTGGCCCATACAAACGAGCGCTCCTGATTGCCCTATTTTGTTTGAGCGCAAGGAAAGATTTGAACTAAGGCTATGGCGGACGACGCCACCGTCGCGGCTGTGGCGAGTCGCGCCGATCGATTCAGCCGGATTGCCAAGGTTGTAAGGAGGGATTTGGATTGCTACGCTGAGGCTGATGGATTATCGGCGCTGGTGGTGAGGGGAGGTACTTGCGCTTCTTCGTCTTCCTCCCTCCAGACGCTGGAGCCGCCATGGATCGCGCGGCGGCGGCGGAGGGAGATGGCGGCTCTGGATCAGGAGAGGAGGGAGAGCGAGCATCAGGCGAGCGTGAGGCAAGTGGTGGAAATGGCGGTGGGGATGGGAGAACAGGTTGATGCCATGAGGAGGCAATTGGAGGAGCAAAATCGGCAGCTCAAGGCGCTCACAGTGGGTCACTGTGCTCAGGTAAATCTTCGTTTCTTCCCGATAGCAAAGCTCTCGATTTTTTTTCTTGCTTGATTGAATGGCTTTCTTCTTCTACCTTGTCTTGGAAGTTTTCTTTTTACGCGTGAAAATGCTGTGCTTGGCGATTTGTCGCTCTTTTTCTTGATGATCATCACGTATGCAGTATCCAATGCTTTCGATTGTTTCTTGAGCGTATGGTTTCTTCTTCTACCTTGTCTGGGAGTACTAGTCTGTGTTGTTCGTGAAAGTTTACGCGTGAAATGCTGTGTTTGGCACTATGTTGCTCTTTTTCTTGATGTCATCAGGTATCTCAATACTTACAACATTTTCGCTTCGATTCGTTAAAACCTTTGGAGCTGATTGTGGTGTTTCTTCTCTTTTTTTGATCTTCCAGACAAGCATCCAGCAGCAGCTACTAGACATGCTCGCCACGGTGCAAACAAAACAGCAGCGTTCCAAGTCTCCCCCCAGGCCCGCTTATATTCACACAACACACGGGCAAACGCCGCAAGAGTATCACACGCTTACATGGCTTCACAACAATCACAGACAAGCTGGTAAGCATTATAGGCATCCGGCTCACGGTTTTCGTCCGTTAAGAAGATCATCTATCCACAGTGACCTGCACAAGTATGACTCGGGAAGTGACAGGACCAGGACAACTTTTGGAGGAACGCGTAGGCGTGGCCACAGAAGAAGTCCGCCAGTGTCCGTTCCAACCGAGCCTGCGCCAGAGTCTGCTAGAAGTGTAGAGAAAGCAAGAAAACCTTCTCCCAAAAAGACCAAGAAGGTGCCTCTCGTTGCGCTCCTCTATGCAAAATGTAAGCGAAGGTGGCAAAAGCAATCCGCACGAAAACGGGAGAAGACTGCTCGTCAAGGTCGGTTTTCTTTGGTTTTCTATCTTCGTTAAATTCTTTTTTACTTTCTTCGCAGCTGCAACCACATCTTCAGCCGCAACTCAGCCGAAACATAACAATGCTAAGTGTCATCGTCATCGCAGCCGCACCGAGCATCATCGGTAAGTAATCTCTTTCAGAGTCTTTCAGACATTTTCGTTCTAACGCCTTTCTTAGACCGATAATCGAAGAGAGGCATGAAGTACTGGATCTTAGAAATGACAACGCGAAGCAGCTTGAGGATAAAATTTTAGACTCGATGCTAGAAGTGCTAAAACATGTAAGTGAAGTTTGCCGAGTTCTAAACTCAGTTTTCCTTTCTTCCCCTCCCAGGAAGACGAGTTGAAGCAACGGTGGCTTGTATCCGACCAAGACGAAGGGAAGGACATTGGAAAATCTATACTCGATGAATTGATGAATGAAATGGCTCCAAGGTTGGACGAGCTTTTACTCTTTCTTTAAAAGGTTCTAAGACTTTCTATACAGAAATCCTGAGAAGACCATGGAAACCATCTCGTAAGTTTTTAACCATCCCTTGCATGGTTCTCGCTCAAAGTGAAATTGGCTGCAGTCAAACGAAAGAGTTTCCAGCAAGGCATCACAGTACACTGGCGTAAGTTTTGAGTTTTCACGATCTCTGCTCACATAAACTCTCAGGCAAACAAAAGAGGATCTAACAATGCACCGAAGCATTGATAATTTAGTGGTGACCGAGTTGTAAGTTTGAATTTTTCACCATTCGCGATCTGAGCTCACAAAAATCTCGCAGGCAAACAAAGCAGGAACCAACAAAGATTGACAGTATAATGACCGAGATGTAAGTTGGTTTTTCACTATTCGCGATCTCAGCTCACAGAAATCTCGCAGAGAGGAACCGACAAGGCATCGAAGCATTGGCAGCACAGTGGGGAACGACTTGTAAGTTTTGAGTTTTCCTATTTGACACTCACAGAAAATATCGCAGGCAAACAAGGGAGAAGCCAAGGAATGAAAAGCACGAAAAACTACTTGCCATGATCATGGACGAACAAGTGGAAGAAATCTCTGCCGAGCTCTTGCTCTTCTGCGACGACTTTGTAGAGGATATATACTCGTCGGAGTTTGCATACGCGGATGATAAGTAACCAGCAAGCTCGTCTTTTATTACCGAGAACACACCTCCACAACCAGCACACTGCGGGTAGTATCACTACTGCAACAAAGTCTTGATAATCGACTTGACATTGAGCCTCCTCAAGTCATGGTAACTCTGACCGCATCCAAGAAACATGATCGGTGCGCCAGAAACATAGACCATGGACAATGCCGCTCCCACCTGCGACACACAAACACACGTTGATAAGAGAAGCTCGCAAGCAAGCATGAAAGATAGAACTGAGACCTTGTCATCGATGGTATCGAACTTGGTGAGAAGTATCCCGTCAATCGGCTTTCGCTTCGCCGTTGCCGAGAGATCAGCCAAAGTCTGCAAGGGGAAACTCTCATCAGAGGAAGAAACCAGAAAAAAAGAAAAAGCCACCGACTTGATTGAATTTGGAGAGCTGGTCCACAGCCTCGTTGCCCACAAGCGCTTCTCCGACAAAGAGCACCAGATCTGGCTTGTTTACGTTGATCAGATTCGCAAGGGCCCTCATAAGAGGCTCGTTATCCTGGAAGAAAAAAACATATGTATTGTAAGAACGCAAAGAAAACAACGAGAAGCAAAGCTTTGAAAAACTTGCCTGCATTCGACCTGCAGTATCAACCAGCACAACGTCGTGCTTAGTTTTAGCAGCTGTGGCAATTGCCTCCCGGGCCACATTTGCTGGATCTTTTTCGTATCCTTTCTCGTACAGCGTAGTTTGGAGCCTTTTGGCGTGCGTACGGAGCTGCTCCACAGCTCCCGAACGAAATGTGTCGCATGCGGCTATCAAGACACTCAGTTCGTGGCTTTTAAGCCAATAAGCCACCTGGTAACGAGCAAGCATTAGTCAAGTAGCAAATACAACAATGGCAGAACCTTGGCAAGACTTGTAGATTTCCCCACTCCATTAACTCCCACAAATACGATCACATAGGGGCGACCTTCGTCCTTTGCCGACTTTACATCTCTCAGGATGTCAATGGAACGCTTTGGAGTTAGTATTCGCAGTAAAGCGTCTCCCATCGCCTCCTGAGTAAACAAACAAAGTTAAAGCGCTCGATGGAGCCAAGACTTGCAACGCAAACGCACCTTTACAGCAGATGATACTCGAGTAAACGTTCCAAGCTTCTTGCCGAGAAGACTTGCAGCAACAGACTCGCATATCTTTTCAGCAATCTCTTCAGCCTGCCAAAGCAAAGTTGGCGAGTATACAACCCAAGAACGTAAACCATACGTACCACATTCTTGGTCATTAGACGATCTTTCAGCGCCTTCATCGCGGGCACCAAATCCGCCTTCTCAAGAGCCGCCTTCCCAGTGACGCTGCGCAAGAAAAACAAAAATCGAGAGAAACATAAAGTCTCTAGCCAAACTAAAGAAAAGTACCTCTGGAAAACGCTCGAAAACCATCCTTTCTTGGCAGGAGCCTTCTCGTCCTTCGCCTCCTCGTCATCGGACTCCTCGTCCTCCTCGTAGTCCACCAAACTTTTCCCGTGAACCTCCACAACCTCCTCGTCGTTGGTGTCACGAACAGGCTCGGAGTAGTCCAGCTTCCCAGTCGCTGGAGCGTCCCACGGCTTTCTATCCTGCTTCACTTTCTTCTTGGGATCCTCCTTCTCCTTCTTCACAGCGTTGGTCTTCTTTCCCCCCTTCGCTTTCAGCTTCTGGAGCTTGCTCCGATCGAAGGCCACCTCCACCGGCTTGGACTCCTCATCGCTGCTGCTCAATTTCCCATTTGTCACTCCATTCTCGTGGCCAGCCTTGTCCACAACAGCGGCAGGCTTGTGATCAGCAGCACTGTCATCCTCTTTCCCATCCTTTTGCCCCTTTGTCCCTGCCGATCCCTTGACCGATCCGCGAAGCACAGTTCCCCCTCGCAGATCGGTGTTCTTGCTGCTTCCATCCTCGATCTTCCTGTTTGCCTTGTTAAGTCCCTTGTTGGCCTCGCCGCGAGCCAGCGCCTCCTTCTCGAGCTGCCGATACACCTCATCGAAATCCCGATACGAGGCCTTCCGGGGAGAATACACCGCCGAGAAGTCGCGCTTCACCATGGCCAGCAGCTCGTCAACATAGAGGAGCTGCAAGAATTGCTGGTAGACGGCCACGAACACGAGCCCCAGCTCGTTCTGGAACGTCCACTTGAGCGTGTAGGACGCACCTGGGGCATCGTAGCGGAAGGATCGATCGCCGCTGCGCTCCTCGAGCAGGCACGACCGGATCAGCGTGTCGATCGGCGATCCCTTGAGCGCGTTGCCGATCTCCTTGCAGCTCCACAGGATGAGGCCGCCGCGCGTGAAGATCAAGAGCTGTTCCAACATCCTGTCCTTGCCCAAGAACCCTAGAAATATTCCACGCAAGAAAATGGGACCCTTTTATTATCGACCCAAGAACCCTAGAGAATATACCATTACACACGGGAAGAATCTTTCTTTTCTTTCACACACATTTATTTGTAACACACAGGCAAACTTTCACGCGGCGATTTGGACGATCCAGTTGGAGAAGCTTGACACGGCTCCTTGGAGGCGGCAAAGCTGGACGTCTTCGGGACTTCCAGCCTCCATCGCGACGCTCTGGATTTCCATCTCCACTGACGCATCCACGCGCTTAACTTTGCTCTCACTCACCAGGAGCGCCGCCACTTCATCGGCCATCCTCGTCAACGCAAGCCTGCTAACAAGATCGATTAGTCTCACTCGAAGAGAAGAAAAACAAAATCTACACGAACTATACCTCAGTAGCTTCGAAGCTTTAGCTTCCCACAATCGTTGCGACTCCTTGAGCCTCTCGAAGAAGTCCTTGCACGCACACATCTTGGCTTCCACAGGAGATTCCTACAAAACGAGGGAAATACCAGCCTTTAGAATGTGGAACCGAGATTGGTTTTAGAAAGAACGTACCAGCTCTGTATCATAAGCCTCGCTGTTCTCGAAGGACCCCAGGAGAGTAAAGAAGTCTATGTACAAGCCGGAGCCAATGTCCCAGTTCTCGATCTCCATTTTATGCGCATCCATCTGGCTCGCGTAGCTCCAAATCTCTTCCTTTTTCCCTGTGTTCAAGTGGTGATGACCATAGCTTACCAAAAACCAATTGCTTACCATTTAGCAGCAAAGATGCGGACACCTTGGTCATAAACACGACGTGAGCCTCTTGCCACATGAAGCTTTTGAGGTAATGCACAAGGCTCTTCTCAAAGTCTCCCCGGTACAGCCAGTAGATAGCCTGAAAAACATCCTAAGAGTCAGAAGAACACGCACTGAGCGCACATCGCTTACCAAAGTCTCGTGCAGCCACTCCGGTGGAATACCGAGTTCGTCCTCTATAAACTTCTGCTGAACCTCCGAGTTGCTCCAAACTTCACAGTACTGGCTCAGTATATCCTTGATCACCTTCTCGTGCAAACCTGTAGTTTCCGGGCACACTGGCATATGGAGTACCACGTAAACTGCCCAATGTATCAACTTGGCGGCAAGAAGCTGGGAGATAAAACTCATGTCCAGCGCGTAGGAATCCGACTGATTCAAAACGCCAATTGCCTGGAGAACTTCCTTCTGATGCCAAGCGGCCCGGTGATCCAGACGATCAAATGTAGATGCCGAGGAGGAAAACATCTTGTTCACATCTGATTCGTCAAGGCTCCCTCTCGCATGCAAAAGCATGAGATAGTAAGCGCTGTCATAGGCCGGCGGTGGTGCTGGAGCTTCCTTGACCTCCACTGGTGCTTCTTCAATGTACATGGGAACCGGCTTAAACGCGTCTCCCTCCTCAACAAGGCGTTGAAACTCGAGGATGATGTCCGGAAGCCCAGCCTCAGGAGGCAGCGTGTACCACATCAACATCCCCATGAAGCGCTTCCAGTCAATCTCTTGATCGCCGAGAGAACCGTGGATATCTCCTCCAAGCAGCTTGAACAGCGATATCCTGTCATTTTCGATGAGACCGTCGCAAAGTCCCTCCGACTCCCAGACCTCCAACTGCGACAAGATATCCTCCCTGTTTGCCACCAGTCCACCGCCCTGGCTCAGCAGGCACGCCAAACGAACGTCCCCTGCAAGGATGGCCTTTCTCACACCCAGCTCCACCTGTTTGCCAGTTAATAAGACCATTATATCCCTGATATGGCTCGCGTCCTTCCCGGTTGAGTCTAAGTCGGCCTGGACCAGATGAAAGACGCTATCCTGTAGCCAGCCACTAAATGCAGCCTTGCGCACTAGAGTTTCAGTTCCCGGATCGATGTTCGCTATACGGGCTTTCATCTCAGCCATGCTTTCTGAAGCCTCTTCGGTTTCGGTGACCAGAGCATCCTTCTCCGAGAAGAGAACACAGATGAGCTGCCATGCCAGCACCTGATGCTTTAAAACCAGCTGATCAGCTGCGGATACACCTGGAGTACCATGCTGCTTTTCGATCAGGTCCTCGTAGTCGTTGGTGAGCCTTTCTAGCTGATCCTTGCTACAAACCAAGCTCCGCAGCTTCAAGCCGTTACTTTCGCTCACAACCTTGCTCAGGGACATGTGCAGCGCGAGAGGAGCATTAAACTGAAAATCAAGAAGGATATCCTTGACTTTACCTCGATCGTCTCTTGCAGTTCTGTCGAGAGAAACCGTCTCAAGTTTTATGGAGGACGAAACCACCGTAGTCGCTTTGGACTGGCCCACAGAGGAACCAGAATGTACCAACACTCCGTTTGGACCCCAACCGGCACGGAAAGAGGTCCCCATGAAAAGTGCAGCATCGACAACACCACCACCCGAATTGCTCGTGGACAGAAGTTTTTCGCTGTCAGATTCCTGAAGCCGGAAACCAGACGTTAGCTTTCTCGAAGTCTTCACCAGTGATGGCGTTGGAGCAGTAAGAGCCTGGAAGGACGATTGCTGCGGCAGAAGCATTGGTGACCGTTGCCATAGTGAATGAGGACTCAGCTTTATCTGCTTCGATGGACGTTTTAACTCGCCTTCTTCCAAACTGGACTTGTACTGCTTGATAACCGACGGCGGAGTTGATTTCTTGTAGGTACCAACGTCAGTCATTTCTGCCGACTCGTTTTCATCCAGGGGAAAGAACGATGCTTTGAGCTGGTGCAACTTCAATGGATCCAGTTTAAGCTGCGCGGGCAATGAATGAGGCAGAGCTGTTCTATGGTTCCTTGATCTCACATCCTCCATGAGCTCTTCTTCTCCTTCGTCCACAGAAGACGGACCTCGCGATTCCAGAAATACCTCTGCGCCATTTTCCCTGTAAGCAGCCTCATCCTCGACCCCTTCCATCATATCCATAACAGCGGGAACCAGTTTTCCAGATTCCAAAGCATCGTCCTCCGAGTCCTCCGACTCATCAAAAGCATAACGGCTGAAGTGCTTCACTCGAAATGTCCATTCACCTTTCAAGGCATCAAAAGAAACGAACTCTGCACCCTGCGCTTGAGTTTTCTTCTTCAACTTCTTTTCAAACCGTTCCACTTGTGCCCCATCTGTGACGCTGCGTCCAGTAGATTTGTCAATGCACATGACATTTAAAAGAGTGACCTCCGCAGGCTTGTTCAATCCCTGTCCGAGAGGAGGCTTCTTACTCTCATCCATATAGACCAGCACTTCACACTTGTTGAACTGGATGATCCCTTCGATATCAAGGCGTCTGACATCTGTCTCTCCAAGAAATTTGATGTGACCGTATCCTTTTCGGCCAACTATAAAATCAGACACTCGCCGGCAGTATCCTGGTTCTGCACGCTCTTTAGCTGCCAGCTCTTGCACCCTCGGTTCCGTATAATAATCAGAGTGTTTGAGTTTCGGCATCAAAGCTTCGATATCAGCCCCATGTTCATAAGCTATAGCTGCTTCTCCAGCCCTGTGACCCGTCAGGGATATGTATCCATTACCCCTGTGGTTGAGTTCTTCTCGAACACCATTCTGCTTTGATGGAGACTTAGACGAAACCTTTTTAGGAGGCGCGGCTTGCAGACCATCTGTAGTACTTGGAATAGACCAATCAAGTCCTGTAGAGAAAAACAATCAGCTCCATGTTACATACGACGGAAGAAAGCTTCGAACCTGACATATCCGGTGGCAATGAATCGTCGCCAACAACAGGAAAAGATTTCGGTTCGTTATATAAATCTGTCAATCAAGCAAACATGTTAGGAAAAGATACTGACAAGTAAAAGCTACCTTCACTGTGCTCCAAATTCACGATATCAGGTGCTCGCTTAGCAGCCACTGCAGTCACAGGGGCCTGGTTCACTTGATGTATAAACAACGCACGTGGATTCTCTCGTGGAATAATAGATACATCCGCCTTCGGAGTCACTGGTGCTTCTTCACCTTCACTGAAAAAGGATATCTTCGGAGAGTCCTTCTTTGCATTGGATTTTCTCGCATGCATCCTGATTTTTGATCTGGGCGTGATGTGTCTTGGGATGAGTAGGGAATTAGAATGTATTTGCGCCGGCCTGTCTGACACCTGCAAATCATAGTTCATCTTCGTCAGCGTTCTTCCAAGAGAACTTCAAGAAACTTACAGGTATACTCGATATTCCATATTGAACAGTTGGATTTGATCCTGCCGCTCGCCCGATAGACATCTGCGGCATAGCCGGCAATGTTCCAAATGGCGCACTTACAGGAGCAGGCATGGGAGCCATTGTAGTTGAAATGGTCCTGAAATTAAACATGTAAGAGAAGAAAGAGAAGAAAATTTTATTTCTTTCAAAGATACTTACGGAGGTGCAAAGGGTGTCAAACTGGGCGTGCTTTGGAATAATCCTGAAAATAAAAGTGTCAGTTGTTTGTAACAGTAAATATCAAGAATCGTACCTTGCGGTTGGGTCTGGGATGGAAAAGAGAATGACGTCGTGTTGGGCTGAGATGAAGGAAAGAAAGACTGAAGACAAATCTATCATCAATAAGGAAAACAAAGCACACAAATATATTAGACTTACACTTGGGGCGCCAGCAGGTTTGGGTTGGCTCATGTTGTTGAAAAGGCTACTAGAGTTTGAACTTCCAAAGATGGGGGCAGAAGACTGCCCGAAAACTGGTTGCGTTGTTTGTGGCGATGGAAATATAGGGGCTTGTTGGACACCAAACGAACTATTTCCAAATGCTGGTGTACTCGAGGGAGTACTGAACGCCGACTGGGTATTAAACAAGGAGGGGGAGCTGTTGAAAGTTCCAAAACTGGGAGCGCTGCTAATGGCCGGAGCGCTCACAGAATTGAAAATAGAAGGTGACGAACCGAATGTAGGAGTGGAAGTAGTCGAAAAAGACGGAAAACTAGTTTGAGGCTTTTGTTGCTGGGAAAAAGAGCTTGAAGCACCAAATGGATTTACGCTTGGAGTAAGAGAGGATGACCCGAATGGGCTGCTGCTTGAAGGCTGACCAAAAACCCCAGTATTATTCGGTGCCGGGCCACCTAAACCGCAAAAGAATTAGTGAGCAATCAAGAATGAAAACCAGAAACTCACCCTTATCTCCAGCCTGATAATCCTCCCATCGCAGTTCCTCGTGACTTTTGTTGTGGTATCCCTCTATAGCAGAGATCGAATACAGTTTCAAAGTCGCAGATCCATCAATTTCGGTCTTTGGAACGTAGGGGATTGCCCGGCTTCCAGGCCGAGCACCAAATGAAATTGTGGACCCTGCGAGGACCTCATGTTAGAGCAACCAAAAACACTCTGGAAAACTTACCAAAAGCAGAAGTAGGCTGAGAATTGAAACCACCGGTGCCAAAACCTGCAGGAGTCGAGCCAAAAGCGGGAGACGAAGCTGTCCCAAAGGCAGGAGCCGACTGGCCAAACACTGGAGTGCTGCTTCCAAAGGCCGAGCTCGTGGCTCCAAATGGATTTCCAAAGCTTGCAGCCGGCTGGCTACTGAACGCAGACGTCGATCCAAAGGCCGGTGTCGAGCTCGCTCCAAAAGCTGGTTGACTAGCACCAAACGTAGGCAGCTGTTGTGTCCCAAAAGATGCTTGTGTTTGCCCAAACGCGGGAGCTGCAAATGGATTCGAGGGAGACGAGGTATTCCCAAACGATCCAAAAGGCGAAGCTGGCTTCTGTCCAATTTGTCCGAACACAGGGCTTCCTAAAACACAGTGAAAACCAAAGTAGAGATGTTAGCAAAGCAGAGAAAACATAGACCGATCACATACCACTGGCTCCAAACGCTGATTGTGTGTTGCCAAAGGGAGAAGCAGTAGCCGAGCCAAATGCAGGGGAGCTCGAGCCAAATGGCGCTGCCTGGGAAGCACCAAACACACCGGTAGCAGTCCCACTTCCAAACAGTCCGCCAGTCTGCTGCCCAAAGGTAGGACTCCCAAATGGCTTGGCAGCAAATGGATTCGTCGCCGCGGAGTTCATCCCAAACGGAGATGTGGATGTTGTGGAGCCAAACGGACTGGACGAAGCCGACGCTCCGCCAAAGAGGCTGGGACTAGAAGCCCCAAAGGCTGAGAAATGGAGAGAGTGAGCGAATTTCCAGAGACACTAGCGACTGGAATGTAGAGACTTACGGCTGCTCGATCCGAATATCATGCGAGGATTGCTGCTGCTGGCGCCACAGCCCTGAGAGATCAAACGGCGCGGAGCGCGAGCCTGGAAAGAGCAGCCTTATCCCGATCGAATCGAGCGCTCTTACGCATCAAAACCCTAGAAAAACAATGCCACTCGCCCTAAACCTAATTCCAGTGTAATATATACATAGGCACGTGGCGGTTGGCAATTGGACGCGCTTTTGCTGACGCGGCATCCACTTAGCAGATAGAACTCACCAAAATGCTCGTCCTACAGAGCTTCGTTGCGCGCCAATGGACGCCATTACGGTATGGGAATGGGCTGCGCGTCGGCGCTCACGAATTCCAGGCGAGGAGAGGTCGAAATTCTAGAATTGGGTCGACTGCGCGAGTGGTTTGGGTATGTTTTTGATGGAGAATGAGGTGAAATCTCATCGAGCAAACCCTAGGATCCCGAGAACCTGTTTGGAGCGCCGCAGACTGGCCACATTACGCGGCGGATGATCCAAAAGAAGCTCAGCAGCGATGCCGAGCAGGATGAGATTGCGAGGCAAGAGACACAGCGCCAATTGGATCGACAAAGAGCTGCTCGAGAGGTAATTAAGAAAACTTTGCTAGTCCGGGTTTAAGTAATCTCTATCCAGGCTCGAGTTGTTCCAGAGAGTGATGCTGGGCTGATCGAATTTTTCCTTGAGACTCAAGCGCAAGAGATCGAGTTTGAGATTGCTCGATGTAGACTCAGGTGCAAAGCGTTTCAAGCGTGATTCTTTGTTCTAACTTTTTCTTTTCTCTTCCACAGATTAACGGATTCGTTCCTTTCCTTTTTAAACACGGAGATAGCTTCCTTGAAGTTTAAAATCAATAGAACTCAGGTACCTGGCTAAGCACAAATCATTGTATCATTGTATCGTTATCAGGACATTGAGGATAGGCTCGTGGAGCTAGAGGCACTCCAAAAAGTTTTAACGGAAGGCATTGGTAAAGAAAGAATTTTTTTTTCTCTCCTCTATTTTCGTGATCTAAATCGCGTGCTCAATGCAGAAGCATATGATAGGCTTGCTACGGATCTAGTCCAAGCCAAGGAAAGAGTCGCAAGGATATTTGCCTCGAAAGACAAGAAAGCCACGGTAACCTGTTAGCATTCATCGCCATCTCCAATCTAACTCTCAGAATTTCAGCTGCTGGAGATGGTTGCATCCAACGAGCTAGACCGATCTCTCCTGGTTCTCCTGGATCAAAACATTGTCACTGCAAGATCTGCTGGACAGGCAAGCCTTTCCAAAACTCGATTTTTCCACTGATCGTGCGCGTTTTTCCAGAAAGAAGCGGCAGACTTCATGACAAAGATCCGCGGTGCTGTGCTCAAGTACATCACTCTCTAAGCATAAGATAACCAGCTTAGTCGTCGAACGTTTCTCACCAGTCTGGCCTACGCAAATATAAAAGAGAAGCTTTTCTTCCTTGTTGACGGGGCAAAGAATGGTAGAACTCTTGCTCCCATTCAAACAAGCGTCTTGGTTTTGGTGGCTGATCCTTGGGTCCCTGGCCACTTCAAGCTTGGCGTAGCGTGACGATCCCGATGGCTGGTTTGCGGTCTAAGCTGCTAGTGAGCTATGAATTAAGAGGTCCAAGTGCTGCGTTTGGAGGTGGCGAGATGAAAATCCAAACCAGGAGCATGGTTTACGTGGGAGGAAGCATGGGTCTAGTGATTGAAGAGGGCGCCAAGCTAAAATGCAAGCTTTTTCTTTCTTTCATAAAACATACTTTTCATACGATTTTCTTATAGAGAAGAGTTTACTTATCAAACTCACATAGCAAGTTCTGTATCCGAGAGTGAAGTTTATGCTTAATCTCAGCTCCAAATATCGTTTTCCTTTTTCCCTGCGTTTAAGCGGTGATGGCTAACTCCCGGAGATGGTTGCTTCCAACGAGCTAGACCGAGCCCTGCTGGACAGCCAAAACTCGATTTTTTCCACTGTTCTTCCAGATCGTGCTCAAATACATCACTCTTTAAGCATATGAATACCAACTTAGCTATTGAAAGTCGTCGATACAAGAGGTACGTTTCTCTCCAGTCTGGCCTACAAAAATATAAAGAGCTTATTCTTCCTTGTTCCGACAAGGCAAAGAATGGTAGGACTCTGGTGTTAAAAACACAACCAAAGAATCATCCTCGAAACCAAGCTTACTTCTTGGACCGGAAGTTCTCGCGTAGCGCAGCAAACTTCTTGAAGCACTGCGCTTTGCTCTTCCCAGGGACAGCCGCGGCGATCCTCTCCCACCTCTGCGCAGTCTCCTTTGGGAACGTCTTGAGAGCCTTGACGAGCGCTAGCTCTTGCGTCTCACTCCAGGCGTCCTGCTCGCCACCACCACCATCCTCTGGTACGCTCGTCTTCCCGTTCGCCAAGCTCGGCTCTTTATCCTTCTCCTTCTCGCCACTTTCAGGGACGCGGGCGGCGCTTGCTCCATTCTCCTGGCCCGGCAGCTCCGTCCCCTCCTCCGCCCTGGTGGACAGCGGTGAAGCTATGGAGCTCGGCGCCTTCCTCTTTTGCAAGAACGTATCAAACGCCTTGGAGGAGTCGGGCTTTTGCAGGAGCACCGTTTTGATCGCCTTGAGTATCTCCTCCACCGATCTGCCGGTGCCGATGTAGTTACTGACGACTTCCCAGCGCTGTGACGTTCCTTTCGGATACTTGGCCATTGCCTTGCGGAGTAAATCGACTTCTTCCCTCGTCCACGGCCGCTCCTTCTCCTTCTTCTCTTCCATCAACACGGGAGCTTGCGCATTTTTATCTTCGTCCGCGGGATCATTACTCTCGCCCTCGGCCCCGTCCAGTGCCGCCGAGAGAGCCGAGCCAACGTCGGTCATGGATCCACCGCAGCCTTCCAGCTTCTCGCACAGAGCTTTCAGCTGCGCCAAGTCGAGCTTCGAGCACAACGCCTCGACGTCCTCCTCCTTCGTTGCAAACGCCTTGCTGGACACCACCCCGGCCGCAAGACTCCGCAGCCTCGACCTCTCCTTTCGGACCAGCTTCTTCTCCTTCTCCTTGAGCTTCTTCTGCGCCGCCGCTTCCTCCGCTAGACGCTTCTCCTCCTCCTCCTTCCGCAACCTCTCCTCCTCCAGAGCCTTGGCCGCCTGGTCCTCCTTCTCCTTCTTGGCCAGAAGCTTTGCTTGCTTCTTCATCAACTTCGCGGCCTTCTCGTCCTCCCGTCTACGTATGATCCTGGGGTCCCGTTTGTACGCATTCTCCACCAAGGTCCTCACTCTCGCGGACTCCTCCTTCTTTGCCTTCTCGCGAAGCTTGAGGTTCTGCCTCTCCATCCACCTCCTGTGCTCCCGCCCCTCGGCTTGCTCCACCTCAAACTCGTCCGCGTGTGGGAACTCCCTCCAGCTCTTAAACGAAAACCAGAAATCGTAGAACTTGTCCACCTCCGCCATCGAGCTGGTCATCTGCCCGAGCTCTGGCACCGGTTGGATCACCGACCATCGTCCATTCCTCAAGAACACTGGCCCGTAAACCTGGAAGAAACTCTCGACCGCGCAATCCGATGGAACCTCGTCGTCAAACTCGTCCACGGAATCGTAGGCCCTCCTCTTGACAGGATCGACGAGCACCTCGTAAGCCTCCTGGATCGCCTTGAAGTGGGCGTCAATCTCCTGCTTCTTGGCCTCTCTAGCGTCCTCGCCATCTTCCAGGAGAATAAGCGCAGCCTGCTTGTCCGGGTGGTGCTTGAGCGCGACCTCCCTGTACGCCTTGCGAATTTGCTCCTCGCTGGCTAGAAACCGGAGATGGCTCAGCCCCAGCAGCGCGTAGTGATCCTGCTGCTCCGATCCGCCGGCCTTCTTCTTCCCCTTGGCGTAGTACGAATCCCCAAACTCGTTCTTGGAGCCCAATATTTCATCATCGTCGTCGTCGTCCTCCGCGACGGCGGCCCCAAGCCCTAGCAGCTTGAGCGCCGCGGCGTGGAAGGAATGCCCTGCCGGCTCAAACCTGGAACACTTCAACGGGAATCCATTGGAGCCGTAGAGCACCGGGATTCCATCGTGGAGCTCCGCCGAGTACTTGAGAAGCGCCGGCATCGTCCTCGATCACTCGCGTAGCCGCATCAACGAATTCCCGCTTACCTTGGCAGCTCCTGGAGCCGGTCGCGGCCGCGATCGCTCGATAGCCCTCGCCTCGACTGCCCGGCCTTTGTGATCTCTCCTCCACCAGCGCCGCTCTAGGGCAATCCCGGCCGTCCATTAGAGCTCTTTACAGTTTTAGGGCATGGGCATATTCTCTGGGCAGATGCGAATCTCGCAGTACTAAACCACTAGTAGCTGCGCAATGGAGGAGTGGCTATGGCGCCAGGCGCGATGGAGAGAGGAGTGATGATCATGAGTGGAAGCGTCGTCCTAGAACGATGATCGATCAGGCTGGCTGTGTATGTAAGAGCAAATCGCACGGCTTTCGTGGATGAATGCCTCGTTCCTCTTCTAGCTGCTTAGAAATTTCTTCCTGCTTTGCCTGCGCTGCCAGTGTTCTAGGGTTTATGGCTATGGCGCTGCTGTGGCGCCGCCGCGGCGCCCCGGATTCGCAGCTGTCGGTGATGAGATGTGCTGGATTGGATGCTGCTGCCTGCTTGGATTTGCGATTTCATGTTAATGACGGTATTGTGATGCAAGCGGGATTTCCAGGGAAGAAGAAGAGAGCGAGAGGAGAGTGGGGATGATATGCCAAGCCAGTGAGTGAGGTGTGTTTGAGAGGAAGAGGGAGAGTCGTAAGGTCATCTCTTCGGCGACGAGAAATCTTCCATGGCCGGTGGCATTAGCATGTCTCTGGGGAATCGCAAGCTTGTGGTAAGCTACTTTTTTTGCCTTGGTTTTTGTGTTCTTCCTCTTTGTCTAGCGACATTATTTGTGAGACTTAACCGTGGTCTTTAAGGTTCTTGGAATCCCTTGGGACGTGGACACCGAGGGCCTGCGATCTTACATGACAAAGTTTGGTGGTCTCGACGATGTTATTGTTATGAAGGTTAGTCTCTTTCTCTCATGGAAACCGAAACACTGAAGTTTTTCTTATCTCATAACAGGATCGCTCGACAGGACGGTCCCGTGGGTTTGGCTATGTCACGTTTACATCTTCGGAAGATGCTGAGGTGAGAGAAATGGAGTTTTTGGTTATGCTCGCTTAACACTTCCTTGTTGCAGAAAGCGCTCTTGGCTCAGCATTCGTTAAGTGGCCGGATTCTGGAGGTGAAAGTTGCGACTCCCAAGGTTTGCTGGGTTTGTATGCGTCATTGTGTGAGTGTATCGTTGTTTTCACAGGAAGAGATGCTAAAGCCGAAGGTTACAAGGGTGTTTGTTGCCAGAATACCACCGAGTGTCAACGACGACACATTTCGAAAGTAAGTCCACACCTTAATACCTCAAAAGCATGACTTTGAACCTGTTGCTCTCTTCTCAGCTATTTCGAAAAGTATGGACGGATAACTGACGCCTACATGCCCAAGGTATGCCTTTGCTAGACTGCTGCTATAGTTCTCATCGACGAAATTTCTTTTCAGGACCAAGGTTCAAAAGCTCATCGAGGTATTGGATTTGTTACGTATGAAGACCCAGGTAGGTTTCCACTGCTCTGCATTTCGATCCAAACATCTCACTCGCTTCTTCTTCTGTTCAAAGACTCCGTGGAAAAGCTTATGGGTAAAACTCATGAACTTGCGGGATCAACCATAGCCGTGGATCGGGCAACTCCCAAGGTCAGGCATGTACATTTCTTCTCTCGTTTCTTATATGTGTCTTACAGGAAGAAACAATGAAGTTTTGGGGGAAATCCTATCCTAGCATTTATGGTCCTTATGGCATTTACACAAATGCTGCGGCTCGCTTTGGAGCCTTCGGAACGCACTTTGGATCGTCGGCATTTGGAGCTTACGACTACCCTCCGGCCCTTGCAACTGAGATTGCGGGATCGGGTATTGGAGGAGCGTATGGTGCGGGACTGTGGTCGTCACCCGCGCCCCCTCCAGCAAATATGATGGGAGGCCCCGCAGGCCCTGTATCGGCACCGATGAACATCTCATCGTCTCAGAACCGCGGCATTGGAAAGAAGATATTTGTCGGCAGGCTGCCACTGGACGCGACAGCCGAGGACCTCCGGCGGTACTTTGGCAACTTTGGCCGACTTCTCGACGTCTACGTTCCCAAGGTAGCCCCACCTTCTGTTTTTCTCTTTCCCGTTCTGTGTTCCTAACTCTTGGTACTCTTGTGCAGGACGCCAAGAAGCTTTCACACCGTGGCTTCGGGTTTGTCACTTTTGCAGATGAAAGTGTCGCTGACCGTGTCGCTCTGAGATCACATGAGTTACTCGGGGTCCAGGTACTTGCGGTTTCTTTTTTCCAGTCGTCTTGTAGCTCAAGTAGCGATCTTGTCTGCGCAGATAGCAGTGGACCGTGCCACTCCGCAAGATGAAGCTGGTGCTGGAAGTGGTACCGCCTCCTACATGGGACCCTCGTCCATTCTACAAGGCGCAGGTGGTCCTATGCGCGGTGCGTCCGCCATTGCTGGAAGTGCTTACGGCCTCGGCGGGTACGACTACAATGGAGCGGTAAGTAATGGCAAAAGAAGAATCTTTTCCTCCTCTCTTTCACTTGGATGCTTGATCCATTGGTTTTGTTCTTCTTGCAGTGGCTTTATGGTGATGCTGGTCACCGTCCTTCCCGAATGGAAACGCGTTACAGGCCGTATTAACTTTGTTGTATTAAGTACACCGCTAACTCGGCAACGCTATGCAGCAAGCAGAGGCACAGGCGATGGACTGTATCCTGTTTATGTTACAATTTGTTTGCATACAAGAGAGAAGGAAGAAAGAAGATCCAGAAGAAGGAAAAGAAGTTTAAAGAGTAAGAAGAAGAGAAGCAAGCGAACCAGTGTATGCATACTTGGCTTCTAACTTTTCAATGAATTGTTGTGTATTGTCTGTTATTCTCGTCTCTTTTCGCGTTTCTAGCTCGCTTCCTAGGCGACCACTTATGTGTTACTTAATACTAATGAGAGGTACGTTGGTATCTCTCTTTGATGATTTGTTTTCGATTTCACTCGTGATTAGACTGTTTCAGGACTCGGAACAACATGCTGCCAAACGACAGAGTTCATCATTCAAGAAAGTTCCAAATGGCTCGGGGTGCGAATGATTTATATATCTCTCGGAACATTTATATGGTAAGAGGAGAGAGAGAGAGAGAGAGAGAGAGAGAGAGAGAGAGAGGAGAGGATTTGAGTGAGAGGTGAGAGATGAGTTTTTGGTTCTTACATGGGATGTTGGTTTTGTTTGTTCAGTCCGATATCACTCCCCCGAGCCCCCTCTCTCCGAGGCCAGAGTGAGGATCGCATTGGCCAGATTGTTGACGGCACCGACGAGCCCCTCGATCCCTTGCCGGCTGATCTCCGTCTTGGTCTCCTCCAGCATCAGCTTTCTCTCCTCGACGCTCAGCAGGTCCTTGTGCCGCCGATCTTTCTTCTCCTCGCACTGCATAAGAGTGTGAGACAGATCCGAGGCGCTCCTCGCCACCGCCGGCGCCAGGCCCTCCACATCCTGCTGGTGGTGATCTCTTGACGACGACTTCCGCTTCTTCGCCGGGGACTTTGGATCCCCGAGCTGCTCGCTGCTTCCGGAGCTCCTCGACGCTGCCAGCAAAGAACAAAGCAAACAATCACATTTTTATGCCTGGTAAGCTCTAAAAAACTCTTTTTCTTCTGTCATTCTTTCTTGTCTCACTTCATTTAATTGCAGTCAGCCAGGCAGGCAGGCAGCTCCTCTGATCCACAAGGCAAGAAAAGTTTCGTAAAGCAGAGAGAGAGAGACCAGAAGCTCACCTGTTGACTGCGGTGGCAGTGGGAGATAAGACGTGGTGTGCGCTTTATCGGACGCGGCCATCAAGCGCGACGAGGACGATGGAAGTCGCTTGTCAACAATGTCGTGGAGCGCATCATAGATTTGGATCATGAGGCTTGAAGGTAAGCCCCGTTCCTTTCTCTCGTGCTTCTCCAGCTGCCAGTAGGATTGCTGCCCCGGCTGGATCTTGGTCTCGTAGTCCCGCACCTTCTTGTAGTCGCGCAGCAAGTTGTCCCATTTGTCGTTGCACTGGTTCTGGCTCCTCTGGCACCCGTTCTTCCAGCAGTAGTTCTCCACCCATTTCCATCTGTACTCGGCGCACTTGCCGCGCTTGTCACCACCTTTGGCCCGCCGCTCGTCGTCCAGCTTCTTGGCCGTGATGAGGATCATCGTCTCGTGAAACGTCCAGTTGCCTTTGCGGTACTCCCGCGGCCGCTCGCTGCCTTCGCCTGCCTCATCGAATGGGATGATTGCAGTGCAGTCAGCAGCCATGGATTGGATTAGGACTCTCCTCCTCCTGCTTCTTCGTCTTCTATCTCTTGATCATGGAGAGCTGCTTTCGTGTGTCACACTCTTTGCCAGTATTGTAACAAATTTCCCGAGACTAGAAACTCTACTTGCCTGTATGCTTTGTCTTGTAAGAACGAACTCCCAGCTGATTTTCCTCCTCTTCTGAGCCTCTGGATGATCTATATTAGCCTGCTGTGATTCACAAATTGTTGCAGGAGCGATGGTCTGGACGAGAAGCTCCTCTTGGAACTACATCACATTGCTGCCTGCACAGACGATAACTAGAGACAGAAGGAAGAGAGGAGCAGCAAAAGCAGCGGCAGCAGCATGGTCGCGCCGAGGAAAATCCAACTGAACTTTAATGGTAAGAAGATCTAGATTTTGGACATTGGAAGTTTCAGTAACTTAGCGTGGATATGATGCAGCAGCAGTAGCAGGAGCAGCAGCAGCACAGGAAGATACCAGTCTCTCTCTCTCTCTCACTCACTCCTCACACACTCGATTATAAGTTCTCTACTGAGAGAGAGAGTGAGAGAAAGAGAGAGAGAAGGGGAGGGAGATAGAAAGAAAGGAGAGCTTCCCTGTTCCGTGGCCGTCGATCGTTGCTCTTCGCTGCGTGGTTTGGAGAAGAAGAGACAAAAGGAAGCCTCTCAACCCAGGCAAGCTCTCGATTTCCTCCTATCTTACGTTCTGAAAGATCGAGCTCAAGTGTGTGTTGTCATGCCAGGAGGAAGAAGAAGAAGACACGAAGACGAAGACGAAGAAGAAGAAGAAAGAAGAAAAAAAAGGAGCGCAAAAGAAGAGTCCCGCCAGTGGTATCACAGCCAGCCGCTCGTGTGGAATGCGAGCTTCACACTTCCTTTCGTCCATTCAAAACCAATACTATATATATGTATATACGAGGCCCGCTACACGTAGAAGGTATGGAGGCATCGTAGCCAAATCGTATCTCTCTACTGTAGGCAAGCCCAGCGACAGCAACAGCTTGTTCAGTTACTCAGTGTATAAAAGCGGTGGCAGGATGTATGGCGTATTCTCTACCAGTGAACACCCCCCGCTCAGTGTTTGTACGTATGTATGCGCTATACATACGGGACGGGCGGCCAGGGGGGCAGCCTAGACGCCTAGTGTTTCTACTGTACAGGGCATTTACGCCCTGGGGGTACGTATGTGTATCGATATAGAAGAAATGTATCTAATTAAGTATGTCCTATATCGTATGGAGTCTCGATATGGGAAGCGAATCTTACTATGCATGGAATATGAGGATATCACATGGGTGGCATCATAACCACCTAACAGATTACGAAGATACCTCCTCTTTTCCATCCCCTACGCTCGTCTCGAGACGCCCTCTCGAGTTCCAATACACTAGGCATACGCATACGCGCCATTATATCACCATGCCATGGCCATTTGCATGACATGACCCCATAGCATGAGGTGCAGGGATACATACATGGCCCCATCCCGAATTGGTAACAGATACATGACAAAGTACTTTGGTCAACGCTTTTGTGCGATGGCGATTGGCCCCCGGGAAGGTGTTAGGTAGCCGTACTGGCTTTGCATACATTAGCAACGTTAATCCAAAGAAAAGATAGCCTCAGGCACGAATATTCTCCGCATGCCATGATCATGCCACGCATGCATGGGTGTCATGGAGTCATTCAAACTCGGTACTAGAAGCTCGCAATCAAGGCTCCCGGGCAAGTACCGCGCCACTGCTCCGATTGCGTGGGCGCCCTCTAACAAATTGGTGGTGTCGTTTTGATATGAATGTAGCTTCTTGTAGAGCTACTTAGGGCTGGGCTGGGCTTCAAAGGTGGAAGGAATGAATGGAGCTCTGGGCGAATCTTCCACTTCTTTTATTTCTCCTCTCTTTTGTGCTTCTTCTTTTTTCACCTCGCCCTGGAGAAGATCCCCTCTGCTGGAATCAAACCCGACCTCCCTGGGTTTTGCCCTTGTACAGCTACGCTCGTATGTACCGTAGAGCTGTGTCAGTCAAAGCCCGACTGCGACTGCTACTAGTTTCACTCACGCACCTTTCCCCCTGACACACACTCACTCACACATAACATTCATCGTCACCCTCACACCGCACATCCACCCATCCATCCACCATCTCCAACATCCCATCCATCCCCATCCAAGTCACTATTACTGGGGTCACACTGCGCGCCGGTGATGGTTATGGTTTTTAATCGCTTGAAGCTTGGCTTGGTGATTGTATCACAAAGACATGTAAATAAGAATGATCATGCTTAATTGTTTTGTACCTCACACGAGCGGGAAATGTGACATTGATTGCCTGCTGCTTTGCTGTTAGCTTTTGGCTGGCTTGTGTCTCCTTTTTCTTTTCACCCTTTCTGGTCCAGAATTATACACTTTAAATTATATTAATAATAAAAAGGAAAAAAAATTGGTGCAAAACTCCTTACTTCAAAATTTGTATTACTATTAATTTTAAGAAATAATCATCTTAATTATAAGTTTAAATTGCTCCAATTAGCTCAACTTTGCTACAAACACTTTCGCAAACCATTTAATGGATAATATTCTCTGCCTATTCTAACAAATCCCATGAATCTAGCTAGCTTAAGCATTAAGAAAACTTACTTACATTAAGAATTAGATCTTTTAGATGAATATTTAAATTTATTAACCAATATTATGTATTTTCAAAAAAAATATTTTTTATACTGAAGATAACATAAAATACATAATTATGCTCTTGGATACTCTCTAAACAGGCTTTAAACAGGCTTTATACTAAATGAGATCTAAGCACCTTTAATTCCTAAGTATAATATTTTATTTTTATAATTTCTACTTTCCAAAGCTTATAGTAAGATATTTCATGAAATTACTATTGCAAAATGCATATTCAGTATTATATTTTATAATTTCTAGTGTAAATGCATCTAATGGACAAACAAAATTTTCAGCAACAGTAGTTAAAACAATAAAAATTAAAAATAAAATTAGTTTCATTATTATATACCCTAATAAACTTTATCAACATATATTTATTCAGTATTTTGTTTTTTGTTGCCAACAAAAAATATTATTTCTTGTACATTTTATAAAAAAATATTTACTATAAAATTAATACAGTTATTTTTGGAGTTATAAAAAAAATTTGGGCTTTTTTCTTAATCATAATTTTTTTAAAAGTAAGATAGCAGAAAATTATTTAGAGGTTCTCATTATCCTTTTCTGAAAAGCATCCAGCCAAAAATCAAGCTTAAATATAAAGTCCTTTTTAGGACTCCAATAAATATTTCCTTTGTTTAGCACCTCTAAGTACTCTAGAATCTCATATATGCTCATATATGTATACAGACATATATATATATATATATATATATATATATATATATATATATATATATATATATAAGAGGAGTTGGAAATAAGGTTGCATCATATCCCTTTTCTGTTGGGTTATATATTAATCCAAAGTGATATTAGTAATTGAGGTGGGATCCTCCCTCTAAATGCAACATATAGAATTTCAAGAGACTTTGATTAATCAAAAAACAAAAAAACAGAATATTTACAAGGAGATTCAAAAGTAGTCTTATGCTCCAACTTAGTGCTAGAAAACCCAAAAGCATTTTATTATTATTCAAATATTGTAATAGTTACATCTAATTAAAATCTTTATGCACAAAGCATTGCAAAGGTTTGTTGTTGTAGACTTAATTGCCTCTTGTGAGAACTAACGATAACATATGAATTTTGCTCTTGGTCAACACTATGATTGCATCCACCAAATTTAATAACATGGGATAGAAGAAATTGCTAAGAGTGTTAAATCAAGCTCATATGCACCAACATATGGAGCCATTGCATATTGTTGATCATGCTAGTGGAGAGTATAAGCTGGAGTTCACTTATAACTAAAGATTTACAACCAAGCAATAGAAAGCTTTAGCAATATTTGGGAAGCTAGAAATTAGATTTACCAAAATTGAAGAGTAAAATCGGTCTAAACAATGTCTAAAATCATTTCATCTAGTATAAGATGAGGATATTAAGAACTTTATCAGTGATATTTAACAGTGTATCAAGGCAATGAGAAAGAACTTTCATCCTTGGACTGAGTTCTGAGGAGATATTAACCAACAAAAAAGATAAGCCTGGAAAATAAATAAACTATGAAAGAAAAAAACTATTAATGTTTTGTAGCATTTGTGGCTATGGCTAGATTGAAATTCAATGTTCATCATCAAGTTGTAGAAAATGTGTGCAACTATGATAAACAAAGTGAGGGTGATGTTGTTGAGGTTCTAAATATATAATAGGGTTAGTGGGTAGGTTGAGTAGTTTAGCTTTTACTTCTGTTGTCCTTATTCTATATTTATCTTGCATCTAAGCTCAAGTTCCACATTATATTAGCTTGACTGACTGGCTCGTGTTTGGACTCGGCTCCGGTTTTATGGTGCTTGCAGTGAACAACGCAATGAGCAAGCGAGTGGTTTATAAAGCCGTGGGTTGCGTTATGCCACCATTATACTGAAATAGTGCCAAATTCTATTTAGCTTTGTTTTGCATATTGGTTTTGGTATTGAGATGTTAAATGCTCTAACATTCATGTGTGAGACACAAAATCCCTAGGCCCCAAAGTGGAGCCGGAAAGGGTGCCACGTGGTAGTGGCCGAAGCGAAAGCCAAACGAACATAACACGTTTGGACTAAAAACTCCGACTTGGAAGGTCGAGAGCGGGAGTGGAACTCCCAATAAAGTGCTCGAGGAGCAAGCACGAGGCAACCAATAAGAAAGGCTCCAAAAAGGGACCCAAAAAGGACCAACACATGACACATGGAAGTGTCCGAGATGGAGTCCGAGGCAGACCCAAGTTAGAGTCCGAGATGGACCCGAAGTGGAGTCCGATATAGAGTCCGAAGTGGAGTCCGAGATGGAGTCCGATATGGAGTCCGAAGTGGAGTCCGAGATGGAGTCCGATCTGGAGTCCGAGATGGAGTCCGATATGGAGTCCGAGATGGAGTCCAAGATGGAGTCCGATATGGAGTCCGAGATGGAGTCCGAGATGAACCTGAAGTGGAGTCCGATATGGAGTCCGAGATGGACCCGAAGTGGAGTCCGATATGGAGTCCGATATTGAGTCCGAGATGGAGTTCGAGATGGAGTCCGAGATGGACCCGAAGTGGAGTCCGATATAGAGTCCGATATGGAGTCCGAGATGGACCGAGATGAAGTCCAAGATGGACCCGAGATGGAGTCCGAGATGGACCCGAGATGGAGTCCGAGATGGAGTCCGAGTTGGAACCGAGACCGGGACCGAGACCGAGACTGAGTCCGAGTCCGAGTTCGAGTTCGAGTCCGAGTCCGAATACTAATACAGGCAGTTGGGTGAAAGCCCAAAGCGATCGTCCCCCAGGGGGGGGGGGCTGTAGGGGGTTCCAAAAATATAGTAGGGAGAGTGTGGGGGTTGGAGCCCAGTGGAGCCAGTTTGGCCAGTTTGGCCCAGGAAGGCCAAACCCAATGTTGGGTGATGAGCTGACCACTGGGAAGTCCAAGACTAGAGTGAACATGGACCGACAAGCAGGGTAGCTTGGTGAAGTGTTCAAGAGCCGGCTCTAGTTCCCCCGGGAGATCGACTGGCTGATGCTCCTAGTCCAAGTGTGGGTGGCACTACCTACTTGGATA